TGCAGAGAGCAAATATCTTCATACCTGTATGAAGTTTTTTGAAGGTCATAGGTCATTACGTGACCTAATCACACAGCGCAGTAATATCTATACATAAAAAGACTTATTCCACTTAGCAATATAGCATGTTTTTCATGCATAAAAATGTACAAAATACGCAAGAAGTAAAATAATAATCATTTTATTTACAATGTAAACGAGTATTTAATACAGTTCTTGATCGATTTTATATAGAGAATAGAAAACTACGTGTTAGAAGTTTCATGTCTGAGCTGCATATTTCAACGTTTACCCTTATTTTTCTCGCAGACCTCTGAATGCTATATTTTTTTTTTCATTAAACTTTACTCACAATAAATTTGAAAATCTGTTGAAAAATATCAATGTAATGCAATCACGCCACAAACAGCTGACAAACACTGCACTTTGGAAGTTCGGTAGACACACCTCCATCATCGAGATCGTTGTGACGTTGTCTTAACAATGTAAGCTGTCGTGTCTCCATATCAACATCATAAATTAATGAATATGCCTTACTGAAATCGTAGATTTTGTTTTTGATCAAATTTTGTACTTGATTTCAAGTTATCTGGTCCGGACAAGTGTCTCCATCCATCCCTTTTCGACCGAAATTCCTCCAACTTTTTATTATCAAACATCGGACGTGTTTCTTGTGTTTTTTAACATCGAATATGGGTTCTCATGAATATTCCCAGACACCAATATGCTCACTATAATTGATCACAAGTAGCCTTTCACAGAATATTCCCTTCTAAACAGAATCATTTGCCAGATGAATTTGAAGCGTAACCGCTTTTCAAGCCGATTTACACCTAGCGTAATTTGTCAAAATCTACGACGTGCGGTTAGTGCAATATTTATATTCGATAACATTCAATTGTCCGTCTCAAATGTATATATAAGTAATAAATAACAAGTTTAAAAACTTCCATGGGAATTGAAGTGGGTCGGTACGTGATCAAATCTTCTGAGAAGGCCTTCGGCCTTCACAGGATTTGATCACGTGACCGACCCACTTCAATTCCCATGGAAGTTTTTAAACTTGTTATTTATTTCTTAATTAAAAGTCATTGTTTCATTTGTTCACAACGCTAAATACAATATAATTTTATCATACTAACACAGGAGACAGCAACACTGTTGTGTTTACATAGTTATGAATAGTCATAATATGTTGAATTAAACTGAAAAATAACCTGTGAAAAAGGCATCTTTCTCCTGACCTGCAATCCAGTATGTATTTTCCAAGGATGTGTAATCAAAACGTGTTTCAAACTAATTTTTGACAAACTTGTAAAATTTATAGAAATTATAGATTGTAGCACGTTATTTTACTGTTTATACTGAATAAGGAATTAAGGATATTGCTCTTCTCGAAACAAGTGATTTTTTTTTTGAATTTACAATTGATTTTTAATTACAATTAATTATAAAATTTGGTATTTTTAAACAAATTTTATGTTTATTTTCTTTTATCCTCAATTTCAATCGCTACGCACAATGTATGAAAAGTAAAGGAGAAGAAAAATATTCCCCAAAAAAGTAAAAATAAATCAAACATACAAACAAACAAAATATTTCTATTTTGATGAGGTCTTAATGTGTTATAGATTGAATCAACCAAGACTAAAATAGTAAACACACACTCCCTCTGCTAAAACGGGTGAATTTCAAAAGTCCTATACTTAATATACACATGAAGAATTATGAGATTTTCAGACTTTATTACCTATTTGTTATCATTCAAATATTTTCTTATCTTAATGACACCCCTAAAAATACAAAATAAACAGATACAAAATAAACAGAATATCCTTTTTTTTTTCTTTTCTTTTCTTTTTTTTTTTTTTTTTTGATGAGATCTACTTTAATTTGTACAAGATTTTTTTTCCAGAGTATAACAGTATACGAAGATATATTCGGAAACAATTTGTGATTGATAATTCATAAAATGAAGTGATTCATTTTCTATTTCAATTTTTATATATATCTAAGTTGAATTCCAACACCTCTGAAGGAAATCGGAAAGTGGTGAACTAAATGTTTATTACTGGTAGTATACTTATTCAACAACAATGTACATGTACCGGTATTTGTTGTATATTTTTTTAACGTAATAACTTTTCACATTGTTTTAATATTCATACAAATATTTTCAAAGTAATTAAAACCAATTATACAGAATCACCTGTATGAACCGTGATATATTCTTGTACGTTTATCTAGTAAAATGTGTGTAATATGATCACGTTAAATTCTTTAAACCCTTATACTTCCTTTTTGACTATTTACGTCGTCTTTGTCAATTGCTCAGGTACGATACCCGGAACAACATCAAAATTTAAAAGACAAATCGGTAAGGCAGAGGGAAAGCCCCTTCCAATTTCCGTGGAAAATATAATTTTTGTGCTTTTAAGAGGCAGACATCTACAGGGTAAGTCCTTCAGATTCTATTTATTCAGGTACTTGAACATTTTAAAACCTTTTCTATTTTCGTATTTTGTGCCTAATGATATCCATCATTCTAGACACACATTTATTCTTTGAAAACCCTGCCAGTCATACTCAAAATAATGAATTGATAGAAGAAATTTTTCAAATTAATCCTGCTGATAGTATGAATAATCAAATGACTATATTTCGGTCTGAGGGTAGAGAGGGATGCTGCATCAATATTAAGCAAATAACAAGCTAATTCAGAGAATTTGTGTCCCCCGCTTAAGATAAAAAGAAGAGCATGCGCAGATCTAAAAGGGGGGGGGGGGCTCCCCACCTGGATTTGCAGAATTATTAAATGTATACATTCACACTGACTTAAGCAAATAAAAAACGCCATTATGGATATATAGATTTGATTGCTTATTCTTTAATATGTGTATAGAATATTCTTTTTATATAAAATATTCAACACAATGCAATAATGATTTTATGAGAAGTTTGTACACGCCAGACATAACTTCTTCCTTCCATATGTTGAATGCTATTATTTAGTAAATCGAAAAAAAAAATTCCAAAAAAAAAAACTGGAGCGTCCTTGATTTGAACCCAGGACCTCTCATATGCTAAGCAAGAATCATTCCCCTAGACCAATGAGGCGCTTTTTTGTAAAGCAAATTAAATGCAAACATTACATGTATGTCACATATACATGTTTATATTCACGTTTGATATTGTCAAAATTTTACACAACACATGGTGTCTAATTTAGCCTTTATTAAACAGTCCTAATAAATATAATTAGAATATTAAGTCCGCCGATAACCTGTTTTATATGTAATAACTCTCCACATGCTCCTGTGCTAAATATAATGCCATGCGACTTTTAATACAATAAAAAAAACAAGGAGGGACACTTTGAGAGGGGCGAGAGCTGGCCATAGGGAGTTATGGTATAAAATTTCATTGCAAAAGCTCAAAAGCTTTTTGAGATATCGCCCGGAAACGAAAGTGTTACACACAGACAGAATGTATGAATTTACGACCTTGACCTTTGACCTTTAGACCTCAAAATCAATAGGGGTCTTCCTTAGGCTACAGGGAGTTGTCATATTAAAGTTCATTGCAAAAGATCAAAAGCCTCTCGAGATATCGCACGGAAACGAAAGTGTTAAAACCGACAGAATTTATGACCTTGACCTTTGACCTTTTGACCTTAGAGTCAATAGGGTTCTTCTTTAGGTCACAGGGAGATGCTATGTGAAATTTCATTGCGAAAGCTCAAAGGCTTCTTGAGATATCGCGCTGAAACGAAAGTGTTACAGACAGACAGAAATACAGACGGACGGACAGACAAACCGAAATTAATATCCCCCACTTTCAGTGAAAGCGGGGGACAAAAAGGGCATGGAGTATTTTCATCTCCAGAGTGTGCGTCACGTTTTGTCTTTCCCTATTACAGTTGGTGTCTTTGTCAGCAATAACATTAGACAGTCTTTTGTAATCTGGTAAATAAACAACATGTACAAAATGTTAAATGGCTAAAATTTTATAAACTAAAGCAGTTACTGTGAAATGTTGAACCACGTACCAGAAAGAGCTAGGTTCACTAACTCCATAAAATTGCCCTGTTCCTATACCAATGAACTGCCGAAGTCCCAATGTTCCATTTTAAACATCAATATAAAGTAGAGACTTAGTGCTTTTGTTTCTTATATAAAAAAAGTTTCCTTTGAGAGTTCAGGTATTGAAAAATGAGATTAGCGAAATGCATTATTCTTGAATTTTGAAGAAAATGGAATTTGAGCATCTCCACCTAAAAATAAAAATATGAGCCCACCCCGCGATCCAAAAAATTTTTCATGGATAAGAATCTTCTGACACAGTTCTTTCATTATATAATTAAACATTTTAGATCAGAGGTTGGGGGCTATGCAAAATATATTGAAAAACAGCTAAAATTTTTGGCCATTTTAAAAAAAAAAATTCAGGATTTGAGGTAAATGACGCAATTCCGGACGTCATTATACATGGACCAGAGAGAAAATTACGTCATTTTTAATTGATATGCAAGGGTCCAAGTGAAATTTAACAAATTTTCAACTAAAATTCAGCATTTTTGATTTTTCAGAAATTCACAAAATTGCACAGATCAACATTAATACGAAATTTTCTGTTCCTGCATTTTCTGTGTGACAATGGATGCATTCAATCACGACATACTGACCATGCACTTCCACGTCTGTGACTTGCACGTCTGTAGAATACTTTAAAATTCTAATGTATTTAAAAATAATTAAAATTTCGGTAATCAACTGTTTTTGTGGTACACCTCAAGAAAACATAAAATGCTAGATGGTGGAGGAGCGTTCTTATGAGACGATAAAATTGGAAAGAAATATAGAAAATAAAGTCTTGTGTAATGCTTTTCAGACAACATAGTTATAGTTCATTTTTTACTGACCATCTAGCCTTCAAAATATATTTCAATCATATTTATAAACATGGAATGAAATGAAAATGTTTTTAAAATGATTTATAATATGACATTTACCACAACACCTAGTCCAGAATCTTATAATCAGGAATACATTGTTACCCTCTGTATATCAACATTTAAAAAGAATTGCATTCGCTCTCCTGTATTTCAAATCCCAAATGCCAATGTAATAAATTGCCACAGTTAAGTTTCATACCAAGAGGTGAACAACTTTGAAGAACTTTTCCTTCTGAGAGGTAAATGAAAACAACGCAAAGTTTCGTTCTAGTTAACAGTGCTGAACAGTTTGTGACAATCCTTTCAATTTAAGATCTGAGAACGGCACTCTCACTCTTTAAATCTAAATATTAAAATAGTTATCTTTCAGTCCAGTATACATTGTGGTAGTTTTTCAGTGAAAGAGAATATGCACTTAAAGAAATCTCATGTATACTGTTACGATATCTTATATTGAATGTACAGTTGGTTGTTTTTGTTTGTTTGTTTTTTTGTTTTTGTTTTTTGTTTTGTTTGTTTGTTTGTTTTTTTTAATTTTATATATTTTTTTTGTTTGTTTCTTTTTTATTGTTTTTATTATTATTATTATTATTATTGTTATTATTTTTTCCTCTAACAAATTTATAAGGAAGTTGGCAACCAAAAAGAAAAATTAAAAGAAGTGACATCTAAATTTTGTCTTTATCACAGTTGTCATGACAACAGAGAAGATTTTTGCTGGTTGTCAAGTTGTCCTTGACCTCAGCACCAGCGTCGGTTTCAAGAAGAAACAGGAAGTCAGGAAAACGATCACAAACAATGGCGGCATTATCTCGTATATTGTCACAAAGAAGGTGAGGGTGTATTTTATAATATGTTTCTATAAGATTAAAGTATTTAGATTTGTAAATGTGTGTGGATTAACAAAAAATACGTGGAAATGCTACCATGTCGTATTCTTTAAATAAAACTAATTTTCATATCCTCTTACCCTTCTTTTTATATATTTTTTTCCTCCTCGTACCTTCTGCCCACTAACCTTTAGCTCACCTGAGCTGCAAGCTCAAGTAAGCTTTCAAACTGTTTTCAAAGTGATTCAGGTGAGCTTTGTTGCATGTGGGCCTTTTGTCAATGGAAAACTTTGATCTTATTAATATAAGTAACTGGGTTCTTTCATCTCTTTATGGTAGTTGAGCTAGGACCATTAAAATTTGGAAAATACGTTATATTTCCATTAGTGAACTCTTCAAAATTAGAGGCGCGTTTGGTCTTCTGACTGGGACAGCATGGCGTTGCGGATAATACAAAACATGCCAATCTCAATCCAATTTTAAATGTTAAATGTATTTGTCATTTCAATTAAAGAATAGAAGAACTAAAAGACATATGTAAGATAGCGAGAACCCTAAATTTATCATCCATTAACAAAAAATATGACATCTCCGAAGCCTGTGTATTGCATTTAGAGGTACCATACGATAAATAGAATCATACGATCAACAATATATATAAATTGATATCGTTGTCATTCATACTCTTGATGTATATAAAGTTCACAACAATAAAATATTACATTAGCATTTTCTTAGGATTTGTTCATCGACATTCAACATATTGTTTACATGTTTATGTTACGTTTGTCCCAGATATCCCGCGAGATTTGTACATTTTCCGACTTTTTCACAAAAGAGCGCACTAAGAAGTATAACTCTTCCATAGTGGAAATAGAACGTATTACCATCATTTCCAGAAATTTGGGGAAAGTCGATGTTTACAAACAATTATCATGTTTAGTTTTCTTGCATTTTGTTAGAAACTTTAACAGTAGTTTAGCCAACTGAAAAATAATACCATTCGATATTAAGAATCGAGTAACATTTTTTCATTGGAAATGGGGCAAAATTCCGTGGTCCATTGAGAGCCCCGAGGAAAGACGGCTACTGAGGTTTTTACATTTTCAATGCCAACTTTTGTTCCAGAGTACCCATGTTGTGCTCAATGATCCAGAGAAAGCTGATGTCAGCTACAAATGTAAAATGGCCGAGAAGTTCGGAATCCCCGTGGTGTCCCTAGATTTTATTTTTGACTGTGTTGACCAGGGGAAGCACCTCAACACAGACGATTATCTTCTGGTGGGTAAAACGAAGGGACTAGAATTCAGCAGAGGCAAAATTATGGGTAAGGATCAGGGAAATTCAAAATGTGTTTCAGATATAATGCATTATAAAGAAAGAGTTAGGAGAATATGGAAAATTTATAAAGGTTTATCATGTTAATGTGGTTCTTGAATTACAGGTATAAATAGGGTTCTATCCGTGTACTGATCAGCTATTGATGAACAAGAACATAAACAAGAACATATATGGAAAATATATTCAGTCATTTAATTATCTTTTTAAAATTTTAATTGTGGTACTTATCATGAATGTTCACAAGTAAGCATAAAACTATTTGAAAGTAAAATTTTATAACAATACCGTAAAGTAAATAAAGAAAAAAAAGAGAGAAAGAAATTTTTTTTAGATATTTTTATTTTACAAAATTATTTCCATTTCTCTATCAAAGAAATAATTAATTTGGTAAAGTAATGGAAAAAAAATCCTGTCCTTTTTTTCAAAAGGTGGAAAATTCCGACCAAAATCTGAGGGAAAGAAGAAGAAAATGGCTTCTAGTTTTAATCCAAAGTCGGTGAAGGTTTGGCAGGGAAAAGATAAGAATATACCACAGTTTGATGATGAGAGTGAGGTGGCTAAATATGCATTGTTGCAGGTCAGTTAATTACTGTTAGTAGATATCCAACGATTTTTTTAGTATGGGTGAAAATTTATATGGTATTTTTTAGGGATGTCAATTTTATCAATAATTCATATTCGAATATTCAATGAAAGTATTCGAATATATTCGAATATTCGATAAAATAAAAAAAAAAAATCTGGTGTATTTTAAATATGCATCATCCTGCTCTCATGAAATGTTAAGCGTAGGTATTCTTACATTGGAAGTAAAATTGGGTGAAGGCTTTTTGTTGGTGTACACAGTGGCGGATTTAAGGGGGGGGCGCACCCGGCGTGCGCCCTCCCCTAAAATTGTCAAAGTTAGTGTAAATCATAATTTAGTAGAGAAAATGTAAAAATGTCTACTCGGTAGATCTCATTTTTAGCCAACAAAATCTTAAGAATCCAGGAGCTTCCGGGGGCTTCGCCCCCTGGACCACCAGCAGGGCTTCGCCCTGGACCCAATTGGGGCCTGAAGGCGGCCCCCAGACCCCTTTCCTACTTTTCGCGCCCCTAACTTCAATTCCTGGATCCGCGCCTGGTACAATAAGGAATTCCATTTTGATATTTGTCAATGATTGAAATAAATGATTGATTTAAATGTAGAAAAATATGATTTTAACATATTTAATAAATTTATAGTAGCTCCAACTCAGGAATCAGTGGTCTTACCAAAGGCAGGATAGTCGTATACTGTTTAAATTTCAATACGTGTAATTAATTATAATTATCAGTCTAATAAGAGATATGATTATAATCTTTGATAAAATATTTTTAAAATATAAACAAATATTTCCATGGACAATTTACCTAAGTAATTAATTAATCTACCTATAATGAATATAGAATTCGGGATTATGTACAACCCGAGATAATCAAGTAATTTACACATTTATTCTGAAATTGAGCCCTATACAATATTAATTACAGACGAATTCTATCAGACACTCATTCAATGATCAATTAAATTTATTTTGATAAGTATGCTCTTCACGTCTTTTAGACATTCCAAGAAAGTTTATATTTAATCAAAATTTATTAATCACAGTTACTGTACTTCTTTTTATTGTTTGTATGTTGTTTAACGTCCCTCTCGAGATTTTTTAACTCATATGGAGATGCCACCACTTGCCGGTGGAGAGCTGCAAATGTTGTCCTATACTCGGCACTTACGGCTATTGACCATTGAGGGATCTTTTTCATGCCAGCACCTACTGCAACACGGGATCTCGGTTTATACGGTCTCATCCGAAGGACAGGTCTCCACGTCCCATAGTGGGATTCGAACCCGCGACGTAAGGATCAACTCCTTACTTCGTGACTCTAGAGCAGACGCTCTAACCACTGCGCCACGCGGGCGACTCTGTACTTCTTTTTATGAAAATGTATAAAACACCGAATATTCGAATCTTAAATTTATTCGAATACCAACTCATCGAATGACTATTCGAATGTTCGAATATTCGTTGACATCCCTAGTATTTTTAAATTATAATTACCATAGAAACATATCAATTGCATAAAGATAGTTTTCTATATTAAATCCAGCTAAATTATATATGTTTATTTGTATATTAAATGTCTGATCATGTCTGATTAATTGTTACTAAACAAATATTAATTATTCCTCAGACAAATTGATCTATTTTTATGCATAATCTAGGTTACTTACAGATATGTATATATTTTACAGAAGTATGACAAGAAGACACAATTAACACAGTTCTGTGTGTTAGAGATTCTTGCATCAAAAAGAGTTATTGCCCTTGACAACAAAGAACAATCCCCTGGGTTCTGTATTTGCTCTCACCTGGGCAGTGTGCAGGAAGTACAGGTGTGTAGCATGCGAATATGAACATATTACGTGTGATATTTTATTACAACTATTTGAGAATTTGGCGATTAAACAGGTATTTTTTTTTTTTTGATTTTATAGGACTTGTCTGAAGGTAGCACTAGAGAGTTCCGTTTTGTACAGACATCAGAGGAAGCCCTGGGTATGTTTAGCGCCCTCTATAAACAGATGACGGAGTCCCCAAATGGCATGACCGTCTGTCGGAAACCCCCATGTCAACATATAGGAACAAAGAAGTTCCAAAAGGTAAAGATAAACTGGGGCTTTTGATACAGTATACAATATATCTCTTAAAACAATCATACATTTTGATATCATTTCTAATCACTGCAATTGTATCATTTTACAATACTTTTATGAACATATCACCTTATAAGTATTTCTGAAAAATAAAACAATAAGTACTTTCAAAAGTAAATTTATTCAGTGAAATGATGATTTTCATTTTAAAAATATGAGATATAATTAAATCTTTGAACAAAATTCTCTCCCATAATATTCAGATGATGGTGGAGTATGGTATGGAGGATACAGAGTTATCTACCCCTGTGAGGGAGCTGATGCATCACATCTGGCAGGAAGCTGGGGGCGAGATAGAGGAAATCTTAAGTAGCCCACTACAGTCACTGAAACTGGACCAGGTCAGTAGGTCACTAGAATCACTGAATCTGAACCAGGTCAGTAGGGCGTTACAGATACTGAAACTGGACCAGTTCAGTAGACACTTGAAACACTGAATTTTGTTCAGGATAGTAGTACTACATTCACTGAAACAAGACCACTACAGTAAAAGTAACTGATTTGGCTAGGCTGCTACAGTAACTGAAACTAAAAACTGAACCAGGTCAGTAGGTCAGTACAGTCACTAAAACTGGACCAGGTCAGTGTGTCACTGTCACTGAATTTGGACCACGTAAGTACACTGCAGGTCACTACAGTAGCTGAAACTGTACCAGGTCAGGTCACAACAGCTACTGAAACTGGACCAGATCAATAGCGCACAATGGCCACTAAAACTGGATCAGGTCAGTAGGTCACTACAATAACTAAAACGGGACCAGGTCAATACATGTAGGTTACAACAGCTACTGAAAAAGAGCCAGGTCAATGGAACACTAGAGCCACTGAAATTGGACCAAGTGAGTAGGTCACTATAGTCTATCAAACTGGACCAGGTTACAAAACTACTTGAACTTGACTGGATCAAGTGTCAGTACCTTCACTTAAACTGGACTGGTTCAGTACTAAAATAGCTGAAACTTGAACAAGTTAGTTGGTCAATACAATTGCTGATATTGGATCAGGTCAATAAGACACTAAGATAAAAAGAAAGACCAGATCAGAAGACCGCTTAAATCACTGAAACTGGTCCAGTAAATTTTCCACCCTAGTCCTTAAACTGGACTAGGTCAGCACTAAAGCTGAGCTGAAACTTTTCCATATGAATAGGTCATTAGAGTCACTGAGAGTGGACCAAATCAGTAAGTCACAAAGTCATCGAGATAAGACCAGTAGGTCACTACAGTCACTGAAACTGGAGCAGGTCAGTCAATGAAACTGTGAAGTCAGATTAGGTCAATAGTTGTGAAAGTAAGAATTTAGAGCTGTATTAGTACACGTTATACTATTCTCATAAACATACAGAGTTACATCATCAGCAAACATATCAATGTTTGAATGGCACACATGTAAGGCAAGTTCATAAATGTAATACAAAAAAAGTAAAAGTTAGGCCTAATATTGTCACACCTACGTTAAATGAGTGAGTGATTTACCAATGACGCTAGCTGATAGTTTTAGCAGATGAGGTCCAATGAAGTCAATATCTGTCGATTTCTTTATTACATTAAGCCCGTTCACCAAATCAAATACTTCAATCTCGCTAATTGGTGCAAGGCTTAAATTTATCTCATCACCAAGCCCAGGATCTGTAAATTGCATTATCAATTATTGATTCCTTTTTAGCTCACCTGAGCTGAAAGCTCAAGTGAGCTTTTCTGATCACATTTTGTCCGGCGTCCGTCTGTCTGTCCGTCTGTCTGTCTGTCCGTCTGTCTGTCTGTCTGTCTGTAAACTTTTCACATTTTCGACTTCTTCTCAAGAACCACTGGGCCAATTTCAACCAAACTTGCCACAAAGTATCCTTGGGTAAAGGGGATTCAAGTTTGTTCAAATGAAGGGCCATGCCCTCTTTCAAGGGGAGATAATTAGGAATAAGTGAAAAAATAATGGCAACATTTAAAAATCTTCTTCTCAAGAACCATAGGGCCAGGAAAGATGAAACTCATGTGGAAGCATCCTCAGGTAGTGTACATTCAAATTTGTTCAAATCATGACCCCCGGGGGTAGGGCAGGGCCACAATGGAGGATCAAAGTTTTACATAGAAATATATGGGAAAAATCTTCTTCTCAGGAACAGCAAAGCCATGATGAGTCATATTTATATGGAAGCATCCTCAGGTAGTGTAGATTCAAGTTTGTTCAAATCTTGACCCGTGGGGGTAGGGCGGGGCCACAATGGAGGATCAAAATTTTACATAGAAATATATAGGAAAAATCTTTAAGAAACTTCTTCTCAAGAACAGCAAAGTCATGATGAGTCATATTTATATGGAAGCATCCTCAGATAGTGTAGATTCAAGTTTGTTCAAACCATGACCCCAGGGGGTAGGGCGGGGCCACAATGGAGGATCAAAGTTTTACATAGAAATATATAGGAAGAATCTTAAAAAATCTTCTTCTCAAGAACAAAGTCATGAAGAGTCATATTTATATGGAAGCATCCTCAGGTAGTGTAGATTCAAGTTTGTTCAAATCATGACCCCTAAGGGTAGGGCGTGGCCGCAATGGAGGATCAAAGTTGTACATAGAAATATATAGGAAAAATCTTCTTCTCAGGAACAGCAAAGCCCAGATTGTTCATATTTATATGGAAGCATCCACAGGTAGTGTAGATTCAAATTTATTCAATTCATGACCCCCGGGGTTAGGGCGGGGCCACAATGGAGGATCAAAGTTTTACATAGAAATATATAGGAAAAATCTTTAAGAATCTTCTTCTCAAGAACAGCAAAGTCATGATGAGTCATATTTATATGGAAGCATCTTCAGGTAGTGTAGATTCAAGTTTGTTAAAATCATGACCCCAGGGGGTAGGGTGGGGCCACAATGGAGGATCAAAGTTTTACATAGAAATATGTAGGAAAAATCTTTAAGAATCTTCTTCTCAAGAACAGCAAAGTCATGATGAGTCATATTTATATGGAAGCACCCTCAGATAGTGTAGATTCAAATTTGTTCAAACTATGACCCCAGGGGGTAGGGCGGGGCCACAATGGAGGATCAAAGTTTTACATAGAAATATATAGGAAAAATCTTCTTCTCAGGAACAGCAAAGCCCAGATTGTTCATATTTATATGGAAGCATCCTCAGGTAGTGTAGATTCAAATTTATTCAAATCATGACCCCCGGGGTTAGGGCGGGGCCACAATGGAGGATCAAAGTTTTACGTAGAAATGTATAGGAAAAATTTTAAAAATCTTCTTCTCAGGAACAGCAAGCCCTGATTGATCATACATGTATTTATGTGGAAGCATCCTCAGGTAGTGTAGATTCTATTTTGTTCAAATCATGATCCCCGTGGGTAGGATGGGGCCACAATGGAGGATCAAAGTCTTAAATAGAAATATATAGGAAAATATCCTCCTCTGAAGTACTGCAAACCATGATTAGTCATTTTGAGAAGCATCCTCAGGTAGTGTAGATTCAAGTTCAAATGATGACCCCTGGGACAGGGAGGAGCCACAATGGAGGATCAAATTTTTACAAAGGAATATATGGGAAAATTTTTTTAAAATCTTCTCAAGTACAATAAAGCCATTTGTTATATTGACATGGAAGCATCATCAGGTAGTTTAAAATTCAAGCCCCCCCCCTTCCCCACCCCCAGGTAATCTTTTCAATACTGAACTGATTTGTGCTTTTGCCTAGCCAGTGTGCTCAGGTGAGCGATGTGGCCCATGGGCCTCTTGTTTTAACTGTCCTCGATGGCTGATCTGTAATACAAAATCTTTGAATTGTCAATCAAGAGTACAATTTTATTTTTTCATGCTCGGAATTTTTCAAAATCTCCTGAAAGAAATACTTTGATAAAACAATTGCATGATTATTTGATATTTTGTTGTTGTTGTTCCCTTGCGAGAATTTTTCAAACACATGAGACGTCTCCACACAGGATGAAACTCTGCCATTCAGTTAACTGAAAGGTGACTGAAAGCTTACTGAATGACAGACCTCTGCTATTCAGTCACCTTTTAAGACATTTCAGGGACCATTCAGTTGACTGAATGGCAGAGTTTCATCTTGTGCAATATACCCATGAAGGGCTTCAAATTCAGACCTTTACTCTGCACTCAGTGCCAGTGAGATGTGTGTGTTCTTCATCATGTCAACGCTACCGGTTTTTAAGGTCTCATCCGAGAGATTCAAGTGCCGGGTGATTATTGAAGGAACATTCAATAACTATATTTATGTCTTATACTTGGCGTGGTGCCGTGAACAAAAATTGAACAAAATATCTCCCGATCACCAAGCGAGCGCCCTACCACTAGGCTACCGCGATCGGTTAAAAGCAGAATATATTAACTTTTTGTAGGTGGAGAAGGCGATGGCCATTTTGTCAGAGATGAAGGCACATCAATCACATGAGAGTAAGCTACAGAGTCTGTTTACAGAATTCTACTCCACCCTCCCACACAATCCCCAGCACAAGACGATGACCTTCACCATGTCGTGGCTTGCCAGGAAACTGGACCTTTGTCAGGTACAATTCGAAATTTGAACTAAATACTTTATAGGCTTTTTCTTTGTTATATCATATAACAGTTTATTTCATAGTTACATACATGTATACTGCAATTTTACCCTGAAAATGTTGTAAACTTCTGAATAAAGTTCTTGATGAATTTATTCAATTTGTGAGGAAAAGGCAACAGTAGAAGTTATTTTTGCATGTTTTTTGCATTTCTGAATTGGTGTGATAAAAATTTTTAAATAAAATTTGTGTTACATTCAAATTTTTAAAGCTATAATTCAACAACTTCAGTACATACATATACATGAAACTAAATTAGATACGTCGGATATTTTTATTTAATTTTCATCTTTCAGATTATTAAGGATGTGGTGTCAGCTAGTGAAGCAACAGACTGGTCTACGCGGGGGAACGCAGAGGCCCAGTACAAAGCCCTCCGATGTCAGATATCACACGTCCCCGGGGGTCTCCCGACCTCAGTTAAAAAAGTCCTCATTCTTAAGGAGTAAGTACAAACCCGTAAATTAGTCGGATACAGATATGCTCTTTAGCCTGTTAAAAACAATCAAAGATAAGTACATGTAGTAACCAGGAGGTTCACATAGATAGTCCAATGAACACAGATAAATGTTTTTCTGAGAAGTAACGGAAACTTTATATTAAAGAGCAAAAGAGTAAAAAAAAAATTCTTAACTGATGTTATCAGTTGACTTTGATTATATAGTAGTCTACCTAAACCAGTTATGGATATCATTAATGTACCAGTATATAAGGTATCAAATATTTAAAAGGTTCTTCCATACACTTGAAATTCACAGTCAGCAAATTGTTTGATGTCACATATGTACATAATGTTTATGTACTTTGATATTCAGTGAAGATAAGATGAACGTAGAGAATGTTTACTCCATTAATCGAGCTGGAGAAGGTGAAGTGTTCCGGTCAGACCTGGATCATAGATTTCTCTTTCATGCATCCAACGTGGAGAATTTTGTTGGAATCCTTTCTAGGTAAACAACCCACAATCATCTAAAAAGCTTTGGGATTTTATCATAGATACATTTTCTGTTATGTCAAGTTTGTATCAGTAATGTAGGGGTACATGTAGGACAGTCCTTACCAAAACAATCATATTCCTGCAAACATCACTTGCAAATCTGCTGCAAACTTGCGGTAAGGAACCTAGACAAACCATGCCAGCCTATGCAAAGCATATATACATGTACATGTATTTGCAACAAGTATGTAACAAGCTTACAGCAAATATTTTAGCATCCAAATTAGGTTTGCTGGAAGTCTGCAGCAAACATTGGATTTCCCCAATATGGAAACACTGTTGCTAAATATTTCTGCTAGTTATATCTTGTGACAAGCGTGTCAGTGAAGATTTTTATCTTTCCTGTGAATTAGCAGCCTGTTTGCAGAAAACTTTTGACCTGATCTGAATTATATAGATTGATTCATCACACATGTTTGAAACAAGCATGTGTTATGATGCAAGTGTTTTGAAGTATGAATATTCTACATGTATCTTTATGTTCCTAGAAAATGTTCCAATATTTATTATAACTGCTATGTAATATAACATGCTCTGACATGTATATGCCTATACATGTCTACAACAGAAGATTTTGCACATGAATGTATTATAAACTAAACTTATGCTTAATTTCTTATCTATCTGAAAAACACATAAAGGTATTTATTATAATTGATTTGGAACCTACGCCATAATACATAAATCAGTTTCTTTAAAGTGTATAAAGAGAGTATTGAAGTATCATATTTTAATAAATTAAATATTAAATCCTACCTGATCGGAAGTTGTTTGTGCCAAAATACTTCTATTTTCATACGAGACAGACGTTTGTACACATTCAAAATAATAAATTTTCCTTACACAACACCCAAAAATCTACATTTTATTCAAACTTTTCAAATGGCAAATTCTGTGTTGACCTTAGCACGATCTCCATTTCCTTGGCTGATTAGCCTTGTTTATTGTTCAAGCGAGGGTCATGGAAACATTCAGATTATACATGTTTCTTGAAAACTTACTGCGAACAACAATTTGGCATGTATTTTTCTTGCATTTTCTTGCAAACATAGTGAGTTCCTTTCAGTTGGCTGCAAGTGTGCTGCAAGGTTTGTCGCAGTCATCCGCAAACAAGAATGTTTTCTTCCAGCTGCAAACAATTACGTTTGCTGCAAACATTCAGCTTAATTGCTGCACGTCTATCTGCAGCAAAGTAAAGCTTTGGTAAAGGAGAGTAGATCAGTAATTAAAAGAAGCAATAAATGTGGATTATTCCATTAAATATACCCTTTTCTCTTTTTTCCCAAAACATGGAAAATCATGGAAACCTTTCTGTCTACTGTTAACTTTTAGTTCTTGTTATGTAAGACAAAAAAACTAGTTTTGAATGTTATTCCGCCTTATTAAACAACTGAGCACACTTTCTTCTTTGTAACTGATACAGGGGTCTCCTGATGCCAAAGGTCGTTGTTTATGACTACGGAGGAAAGAGAACTGACCCAGGAATGCTGGGAAATGGCATTTATTTTGCCAGTTCTGCAAGGTTAGTCTACATTAATGAAAAATGTATGATTAAAAGACGTAACATCTTTATAATTTGAAATTTTCCAATGCATGTACAGTGTATATATTTCAATGGATAGCCTGTGTTTCTCCGTCTTGTCTTATTTCTTATTTATGGTTTAGTTTTGTCTCAGGTTGTCACTGTTATGTGGTATTATTCTTTTGGATATATATATATATATATATATATATATATATATATATATTGTAAAATAAATTTTATGTGTGTAAATACATGTAATTGGTTACGTTCAATATTGTTCAAGAAATATTAAGTAACATGTCTTTATCCTTTGTCAAGCACAAGCATAAAATACTCGAAGCCAAGTAAAACGAGGAACACACGAATGATGCTAGTTAATCTGGTGGCGCTGGGGAATACGATGGACGTCTACACATATCAGAGGGACCTTACAGCTCCACCTAGTGGCTACGACAGTGTTCACGGAGTGGCGGCTAGTGAGGGTGTAGAATCTGATTTTAAGGTGAGACAATTATATATTCTCGTATTATGCGTACATGAAGTTTGATGGGATAATAATCATGTAGTGAATGAATGACTTGTGTGTTTCTTGATCAATGGAGTGATGGATGTTTTTAAGGAAGATTTTCTTACACAAGAACGAAAATGAGGGTATTACTAGCAAAAAATAAATATTAAGAAAAAGAAACGAAAAAAACCAAAAAAGAAGTCAAATAAACACCACTACAACCCCATAAAAAGTATTTAGTGGTAAAACATACTGAGTATATGTGGTTTTACTTAGAAACTAAGGAAACCAATGTGTATGATATTCAGGATTGATTAAGTCAGTTTTATGCACAAGATTACGTCAATCAAAATAGGCATTCATTTTCTGATTTAATGAATTCTGATACTTTGTTTACTTGAAGTACATCAACATGTACTTTTTATGACAGGATGATGAATATGTAGTGTACAATACAAACCAGCAGATGTTGAGTTATTTAGTGGAGTTTACCGTGGGAGGGGAACTACCAGTGGAGCTGTCAATGGAGGAGGAATTAGAGGGAAAGACGCCTGACTCAGACATTGATGTTGGTCAGTTCATTATTTTGAGCTATTATAATACATTGTATGATTAAAGTTATGATAAATTTAATTTATAATTTTCATAATTTCTAGAGGAAGAATTATTACTTACATATGCTTGCTACCCTTCTGGGGTATAGGCCATGCACCTACAGGATTTCTCCATCATCTATATTTTAGGCTCTCTTTCCAAGCACTTTCCAAGTGCCCTAGTTGTTTTTTTTTTTTCTGTTTCAAAATCCCTGCTCGATGGTGTCTTTGGTCAGCCTGTCGTTCTTTTGCTAAAAGAGTTATAGATAAATGCCTTCTCTGAGAAATTTAAAGTATTATTAAGTGTGCTCCAGTCATCTTCAACGTCTTTGAAAGATTTTGGTTTTAACAAAGAAAAATTATTTAATTAAAAAAATATAATGATTCAGTATTCGTGTCAGAATTGGATTTTTTTTTTTTTTTTTTTTTTTTTTTTTTTTTTTTTTTTTTTTTTTTTTTGGATAAAGAGTTTGCTCTTTTTGTAAAATCGCTAAACACTGTAATAAATATTTTCACAAGCTAATTTAATCTAAAAAGTTTTTAAATGAATAAAAATCAACCATACGTGAAAAAATTCCCAGGATATATTTGAAATTACATTTTTAAAAATACTATTTTCTAGCTTTAATGTATTTTCTGCATTATTCTTATGCCCATCCATCACGGTTATTTTTCATGGAATTTTTAGGAATGGAAGCAGAAACAGAATCATAAATTCATGCCTCTTGTGGAAGATACTTCATATAGTAAATTTTATTTCTTAACTCTTGACATCAAAAGATTTTTTTTAAGTCATTTTAAAATCATAATTTTCTAAAAGTAAATTTTAAAAAAAATTCTCTGAGGTGAATATTTATCTCGAATCATTTCTTTGAAAAGCAGGTACCCGTGAACGATAATTGTTATTATCCCGATTAGAGGAATGTGATAATTAGTCTGCTCCAAATATCCGCGCAATTAATATACATGTAGAATATACAAGCTGTATACAAGATATATATAAATCGCCAAGCTCCCCAATATAACAAAAGACTTAGGTGCCCAACTTCGATTTCTACAAATGTATTGATATTATTCCTCCTACATGTATACATGTATAAGTCGCCGTGGCGTAATAGATAAGGCTGTGGATTAATATGTTGGAGGAACCCAATTCGACTCTAGTTTTTGTCAAGCTTTTTTCTATATTCACTTTAATTCAGTTTCTTAAATTCGAAAATAGATATATTTGATTCCATCATAACAGGAAAAAGTGAAATAAAATTGCAAGTTAAAAAATAAGCAGGTTATAATTAAATTAAAGATACAACTGAGAGATAACTGAAAGGCCACAGAAATCTATCTGGCATTCAGTCGACTGAATGGTAACTGATGGATCAAGGTTACTGATTCCATCATAACAGGAAAAAGTGAAATAAAATTGCAAGTTAAAAAATAAGCAGGTTATAATTAAATTAAAGATACAACTGAGAGATAACTGAAAGGCCACAGAAATCTATCTGGCATTCAGTCGACTGAATGGTAACTGATGGATCAAGGTTACTGACAGTTTCCTTTCATTGACCTTTCAGTGGGCATTCAATTTCTCTTCAGTCTACTAAATGGTGTAATTTTATCCTGTGTAGGTGCTCTTATTCAGGCTTTATTGCTTCAGCATTAATAGTGTTGATTTTAGGCACTCTTCTTTCTTTTAAGTGTATGTTAATTTCAATTTGAGCAGATAGATCTGCAATTGTGTTTGTTTTATCCTGCATTTCTATTTCGTATATTAGAAGCTAGTACGTCTTCAAATTCCAAGTCATCTGTGTCCATTTCTTGTTTCTGATGTTGCTGTTTTCATATTCAATCTTACAAACAGTAAAAACATAAATGGTGAAAGTAAGCAGCCTTGTCTGAATCCTTCTTTGACATAGAATGTGTCATGGCCTCCATGAGAACCTTGCAGTACAAACGTTTGTTATTATTTTAACCACTTTCATAAACTGGCACACAATAATGTCTTTGACACTTCCAAAGGGTATATTTATAAACACTGTCAAAGGTTTAATTTCAAAACCTATGAACTTATGAACTTTATGGGAGTTCTACTTATCTGACTGCTCAATAATTATTTAGCAATTTGTTAATTTGTTAATAGGTGTATGCATGTATTTATTGTCTTTATTTGCTACTTATTTAGAAGCATTCAAAAATTTAGTTCATCTTATCATAGACTTATGGTGACTGCAATCCTTTCTTCGTTATTTAGAACATATTTGGTCAGTGATCATGAATTAGTGCACAAGTTAATTTAAAGCACAAATACATATTGTGCTTAATTTACTAAGAAACAGTATAAATTTCTGTGATTTTCCAGACATCAGGGATGTACAGAAAGTGGCAGACCCTCTGACAAAGGTCAAGGTCGGACTGGTATCCAATGACGAAACGCCCGTATTCCTCAAAGAGGTCCACATTCGAGCAAAATTAATTGATTTAGCAGGAGAGGTAATTCAAAGAAAAAAAAAATTTACACTTGTCAGGTCCTCAGACAATGGAACTCCTAAGCTGATGTATAATGAAATACTGGTGTTCTAAGGAACGCATATGTCGCCTGCTTTAAACATCATTAAAGATGTAAATGAAGTTATGAGTGGTCAGCTATTTATCTGCTTCTTGTATTATAGTTGATGCTTTTTCATGCAAAGAAAAAAAACATCCAAGGATAGAAATCATATATGTGGTAATCAAATAAAAATATGATTCTCCAACCCTCAAGGATAAAATGAATAATAAAATTGAAATTATTATAAATATTTATTTTATTCATTGTATAATCCAAAATCCCCCAGATTAGTGACTAGAGAGATTTCAGTCTATCTTTACTAGAATTGTCAGTCTACAACAATCCATTTTGGTATACAAATCCCGATGTATTTTCATAGTATTTAAATTTCATTTTGTGTGGTAACTGTTTATAGTATAATTAGCATGTGAAATATAAATGCTAGTTATCGAAACTCTGCCTCTCAAAATTTAAAAGGCAATTTTTGATATTAGCCGTTAAAAGGAATACCAAAGGAAGTCAAAGATCAAGGTCAAGTGGATTGTCACTCTGGTGATTTTAATGATATCTTATAACAAACAGTATTTTGTTCTCGTATATTTTTCAAATAAACTATGATAGTGAAAGAATTATACTAGAAGTCAACATAAAAATAAGCTTTTGTTTAAGTCTCTTGAGATCGTTTTATGTAATGACAAATAGTAAACCATCAGAGAGTTGAAATTCCTTGTTTGTCAAATTATATTAAAGTATCCCTTATCTAAATATACATGAATTTTTCTCTACCACTTGAGATCAAATATGACTATTTACAGGCATGAAATCAATCTATCAAGTCTATTATGCAGTGTATTCTCCTGTTTGATAATAACAGGTTGTAGTTCTACAAGAGTATCACAACAACAGAGACAAAGCTCTGGAAGCCAAGTATGTCTTCCCTCTGGATGATATGGCAGCTGTCTGCGGGTTTGAGGCCTTCATCAATGGTAAACACATCATAGGAGAGGTGAAGGAGAAAGAGACGGCACATAAAGAATACAAAAAGGCCATAAAGGAAGGTCATGGGGCCTACCTAATGGACCAAGACCAGGAAACTCCGGTAAAGGGGGGAGGATATAAATACCTTAGATTTTCTGTCATTTTAATTAGTGTAGTATTATGTTAAACTGTATTTAGCTCGGTTATATCTATGTAGGTTCAGAAGAAAGTGTCAGTCGTAGTAATACTTAATGCTAATTCTGTATAAGCTAAATTGCATTCTAAGTTTAGCTTCTTCTTTGGTGTGCTTTAAAGGAGATGTTTACAGTGAGTGTAGGAAACCTTCCCCCCCAAAGCTACGGTCATCATTAAGATAACCTATGTCACAGAGCTTCAGGCAGAGGGGGAACTCATCAACTTCTATCTCCCAGGCAGCGTGGCGCCATGGAAACAGAAGTATGTCGACGCTCCAGAATTCAAAGACAAGGTCTGTGTGTTTGAAGTAAAGACATCAAACTTGTAGTTTTGAAATATCTAAAAGTTCATCTGTCAGGAGAAATATTTGAATCTTCTAAAAAAATAACGTTCTTATAATACATTTTTAAAAGAAATTTAGAAATGATAGAGAATGTTCTTCAGATGTTTTTGACTTGTTGGTATGACTTGGTCATGTTTCATGTTTTGATACACTATCCTTGTGTGATTGAAACACAGTGTTAAAGTGTCATGTATGAAGTTTAAGATGTCATGCAATGACTCACGACTTTCCTCCTCAGGACTGGGACACGGTACAGGTTGCAGACACTGACTGCAGTGTACAGGTTTACGTGGACATGCCTTTTGACATCAGGAGTCTGGAATGTCCAACTCACAAAATTTTAGTAAAGGTAAGACCATCATTATATTTCTCAGGTAAATGAATTGTTAGTGTTAAGTAATGATGAAAACGAGTGAAAATAGTTGTACATTACTTTAGGCCTTTTACATTTTGTCAATTATATAGTTTACTTCTTGTAATATCAACAAACACAAACTAAGTTGGTAATTCGATAGATACAAAATTTTGCGTGAGAGTATCCTATTTTATATAGAAATATTTACATCTGTCAATGTGTTTCCTAATATTACAATACTAACGAAATTGACATTCAATTTTTGTTGACATGAAGTTAGTCACATGATCAGACTTTCTTGGGTATGAAAAGTAAACTGCGCGAGAAATCTGGAAAGTATAAACTTTGGCGTCACGTGTTGCTTAATTTCCATACCATAACAGAGTCTAAAAAGTGCATTCTTTTTCTTGTGACACAAATCAAAATAAGAAATAAGATATCATTTTTGGAGTTTCGTTGGGATATGATATGAAGTTGTTACGTGTTCAAATCTACTACTAACGTTACAGAATTTGAACACGTGACCAACTTCATGTCAAATCCCAAAGAAACTCTAAAAATGATATCTTATTTCATAAATACTAAAAGCTTTAATGAGATTGTGTTATCAAATTACATACATGCACTATGTGTAATATTTTGCAAAAAAAAAAAAACACTAAAGTGAGAATGATGATGTGTAATAAAATATTTTAGGAGCAATATTTTCAGGAGAGTGGTGAACACAATTAGGAATTATACTGTGTGAAAATGAAAAAGATGAAGAAAACGAACAATGATCGATCTAAAAAAAAAAATTAAAAAAAAAAAAAACAATAAAAATTTGTTAACACCAAATGCAGATGATAGCGGGATATAACTACATAAATTAGGAAAGCTGACGATTGAAAAGCTGAGATCATCTAAGTTGACATACAATTTAGTTGCTAGTTGGTAAAACATCCAAATACGAAACAGATGTGACAGACTCTGTGGTATCTTTTATTTCAAGTTTATTTGGGTTATATCGAGTCGACGTATGATTGGAAGTAACTACTGTCAATTGATAATACGTCGTCGATATATCTAAATGTCAAGTTGAAGGCCACAACAAGTGTTTTCTTCTCATGTAGAAGTTTTTGAATAAATTCTGCTTCATATCAATATAAAAAACAGGTTAGCTAATAAAGGAGCACTATTAGTGCAATTAAATCGAAATTCCAACAGTTTGTTGGAAGACTTGGTCTCCGAAGACTAAATAAATGTTGTCAATGAGGAACTCCAGCATCCTTTTCATAAGAACTTCTGAGTACTTGTGTGTAGAATCATAGTGATTTTTAGCAGAGTAATTTTGTTGATGACCAATCACAAGAAAGGAATATTTCCTACTTCCATTTTTATTGAGGAAGCACCTGTCTGTAATATTAAGAAGCCTAGTTTTTAATTTATCATCAGGAATGGTTGTATAAAGTGTAAAAAAGTCATACGTTTTGATGTTACTGACTTTTGAAAAATTTGGCGATTTTACTTTTTTTAAAGTTCTTTGGAGTTTTTTGAGAGTTCACATCTGATTCACACTTTTTTCTAGAATATGTTGTAGCACAGTACGTATTTTAGGTTTACTGTTCTGTAGAAAACTGCGACTAAAGCCACTGTATCAATGAAAGAGGACCAGATAATAAAAGATGGCTTCCAGTTGCTGATTGGTCTAGCGGAGATCCACGTGCCGCGGATGTGGGTGGAATCGGATGAACTGGAAGGTTCACAGGTACCATTAAGTATTTACCTGTTGAGTGATGTGCAGGAATATTTATATCATCAATGTTTTCCTTATTGCATCATTTTGAAAGAATAAATTTATTGCTTGATAAGCATGTTTATACATGTACATAAACATGTGTATTTTTACCAAAATATTTATAATATATGCCTTTGAACTTGGACTTCATTTAGAATGGAAATTGAAAATGCTGCTGCTTTAAAAAAATGCAGAATAGATTGATGAAATGGTATATTTTGCTTTGGATTTCCTTTCCAGTATTGCATATAACTGTAGGTTAGACTAAGCTTTAACAGGGCGATTTCGCTTGTTTGAACTTTAAATTTAAATTTACAATAAAGCTGTTCACAGAAATGTTCAGCAATTCTCTAGCAGATTTATACAGTTGGGTTGATAAGTTTAATGGTGTAATTACCAGGCCTGTGTGCTGACCTTTTACCCTGAGTCTTATTCTCTCTCAGTAAGTCACTGTTGATATGTTTACTGGTTTTATTACCAGGCCTGTATGCTGACCTTTTACCCTGAGTTTGATGCTGAGGAGGAGTCAGAGGTCGAGGTCATTTTGATGATTGACAGCTCCAACTCCATGAAAGGTTCCGCCCTCCAACAAGCCAAGAAAGCTGCACTCCTCACTCTTCACCTCATGGAGTCCAGTTGGAGGTTTAATGTGGTGTCTTTTGGAACAGGTACTTTTGGGGAATAAAAGTAGTAGCTTTTTATACTATGTTGAGAAAAAGATGCGATGGAAGGGTTCCAGAAGGTAATGTATTATGAAAGAGTGCCCTCATAATGCATGTGTACTTTGTATGATATTAAGTTAAAATATAATTATTCAGAAATGCTGTTACAATTGGAGTTTGAGTCATCTTTTTTGACTTTTGTATAATTCAGCTTTTCTAGAGCTATTTCCATCCAGTCAAACAGCCAGTAAATTCAACATACAAGCAGCAAAATTGTTTATACAGGTAACGAAATTGGAATTTCTAAGCCCTTGACTAGTGAAAATGAAAAAAGGGCTTGTTTATATTTTTTTTTTGGTCTGTTTCAGAAGCTACAAGCAGATCAGGGTAACACAGAACTTTGTCGACCTTTGAACTCTTACTATCTTCTAAAACCAGAGAGTTACACCAGAAATATATTCCTTATCTCTGATGGCCATATCAACAATGAGGAGGCAGCTCTCTCCAGAATTGCCCAAAATCACCAACACACTAGGGTCTTTACATTAGGGGTCAGGTAATACCAGAAAATATGAATTTTCTGAAACAGGTCCCAACAAGTACACTGTGTTTTTTGCGGACGGCTGAAAAATTCAGTAGTTTATTAAACGATTTAGAACTTAAACTTATTTCATATACATGCAATCCACAAAATTGTACCGCGGTACAAAAACAGTATACCTGTGTATCATGATATGTAACATTTAAAGCAATCTATGTTATTATTAGTTAAATAGTCTAATAAATGTGCTTCTCTTTATTTACTTCTGTATTTTTATTGTGTTTAGTGCTTTTTAAATGTTACTTAATGTATTTGTGAAGTTCATGAAATAATCTACAGCATTTGTCCTTAAACATTGTGATAGAGAATTCCTCATTTAAGATAAGTAACACACAAATTGTATTAGAAAATATGAGAGGTGAAATATTATGAAAGGTATCATGATATAGCTTTAGTATATCATGATACCCTTCAGCCATATCGTTACACCCCTTATATACAGCAACTGCATACCCTTCCGTATAATCATAATAAGAAGTTCGTTGCTTATTTATTCATTGGATTCACAGCTCTGTGGCCAATCGTCACCTTCTGAAAGCCGTAGCTAGAGTAGGAGCAGGGTCGTTTGAGTTCTACGACTCCAAATTAAAATCGAAATGGGAGGAGAAGGTAAAAACTGTTTTTAAATAGATTAATCTTTAATTCTTGGCAATTTCCCACTATCCCGTTACCTCTAACATTCTAATTAACCCATATATTGTCCGTTTTAAGATCAAGTCCCAGTTACAGAAAGCTGCCCAACCCGTACTGACCTCTGTGTCTGTTGATTGGCGCCATGACGACCAACACCCAGCTCCCATCCAAGCTCCGCAGCAAATATCAGCTCTGTTCAGTGGGTCCCGACAAGTCATCTACGGCTTTGTAGACAACTGTTACATGGTTTGTAGTATTTTTACATAACAATCCTTGATATGGGATGATTTCTTATCTGAATTGTAATTAACTTTATAATTAATTTTATTGAAAATTGCGTTGTACACAAAAAAGATAAAAAAGTTTTACATTGTATGATTACTTTTCAATAAGAATAAACGTTTTTATCTAGTATGAAATTAATATTGTAACTAAATTGTTTCTACTTTAGGCAACTCTGAAAGCAGAGGTCGAGGGTCAAGAGATATCAACAGTTGTGTCAACTTCTGACCTTAATGTCACAAAAGGCAAGGTCAGTCCAACAACAACTATCATTAAACTTCTTCAACATGTAAAATAAGTTGAAATACTCATCTTAATATGATGCTGGAATTGATCCAAAATTCTTGCAGCTGTGCAGCAAATTACGATAGTACACTTTGAATTAATGCAATAAATGTAAATGTGGTTCTCCATGGGGGTTTAACGCAGCGGCCTCGCGACAGTTAAATTCCTTAGCACCACAGTTAAAAAATCAACGCCATAGTACCGCCACAGTAAAATATTAGCGTCACAGTAAGATTGTCATCGAACAGAAACATAAATGTATAAATTTATAAACCTGAAAATGAAACTCTTAATAATGTACCGTTTTCATTTTCTAATGCTAAACCGTTACTTAATTCTAATTTGGACCCGGTCGCCCGCTTGGCGCAGTGGTAAGAGCGTTTGCTCTAGAGTCACTGAGTGAGGAGTTGATCCTTACGTCGCGAGTTCGAATCCACTGCGGGACGTGGAGACCGGTCCTTCGGATGAGACGGTATAAACAAAGGTCGCAGTAGGTCTGGCACGAAGAACATCCCTCACTGCTCAATGACCCTGAGTGCGGAGTGTAGGTCTAAAATTTGCAGCCCTCCACCGGCAGGTGGTGGCGTCTCAATATGAGTGAAAAATCTCGAAAGGGACGTTAAACAAACAAACAATCAACCAAACAAATTAGGGCCCATTGTTTTGATTGTACAATCATCTTCTAGATCCCTATTGGACTTAATGCATGAATGAAAACAGACAGGCAATTTGTTTTAACACTTCTCTGAAACTGTAAATGAAACTTTTAAAAAACCAATTGATTACGTAAAGTTTTACTGTAGATAACCATGTCTATAAAATTGCACTGACACTGTGAGACAAACATCGTGCGTGTATTGTAATCATAAAATAATTGAAAACCTTATGTAAACCTACATCATTCAAGTTTTGCGACCGTCTTTTCTAGCAAATATTAACTTCCACTAGCCTTTTATTTTATAACTTTTATTTACAGTGCAATATGTACACTTTTACCTCAGTTGTGAAAAATGAATAGAGAAGGACAGATTTATGATTAACAAATCGTTAAAAAAAGTTGAAAATAATTTTTACATAATAAGATAACCCTGCTGATGATTATCTTATCTTCGTATAAATTCCTTAGGGTTATGTATGGACAAATAAGTACATGTACGACCATCAGTCGTAGATTTTGTTTCTTTGAAGATGCTGCACAGATTGGCTGCCAAAGGAGTAATAAGAGATTGGGAAGATGGAGTTCTTTCCCCTGATAGAACAGGGCATGAGGTAAAATTAACAAGAGTAGGATTTGTTATAGAACCAAAATACTTTGTGGATTACGTTTTTAACAACGTGTAGGCTTTCAGAAAAAAAATGTTTTATCTCTCTATTTGTAACTTACATTCCTATATGCATAGCATTGACGACCTTCTTATTTAAAATCTTATATGTAACAGGTTTCTCCAGGGGCCGTTTAATGTTACAATCACTAGTTTTGCAGATTTTGATAGGATTCCTCATAGAATATCACAGTGCACTTTGTCTCTGAACTACAGACATATGATGACACATTGAAAATGACATCAAGTCACCGAAACATTGAGCTGTCATATATATTTGAGAAACCTATATGACCCGTTGTGGCAATAAAAAAAGTAACAACTTTAACTTTGAATGTTTGTAAAGATAGTGAAAACAATGAATCATCTTCTAGTTAGGGCCAAACATAATACTAAGTCTGATCTCTAACGGACCTCAATATTATTAAACTTAAAAATATATATTTTTAATTTATTATTAATAATAATAAAAATATTATTTAATATTATTAAACCTCATTCACAATTAATCGAGAACCCTGTTTTTCGACATCTCTAATCTTCAATGAAAAAAAAAACAATGTTCATACATATACATTTAATACAGTGTGTGTATGTATAGAGTATATAAAAACTGGGACTTAAGAATTCATAATATGAAGAAAGTAAATAAGAAAAGGATTTGTCCACCACATTGAATAATTTAATACATTTAATAACCTCACGAAACATCGTTCTGTTTGTGAAATCAGATGAGGTCAATCCTGAATCCATTTTGTATTTAACAAATAATTAGGAATATATAAATTGGTTCACAGACATATAATTTGATTTAAATTATTAAAAAGGATCAAATATTTTTTTTCCTGAATCATCAGGTGAAGAAAATGAATCTGAAGCAGTATATTATAGAGTTGAGTAAAAAATACACCATCGTTACATCACTTACCAGCTTTGTCGCCATCGAGAAACGAGAAAAGGTGATCATTTTTAAAATACCATTATTCACATATAGACTTTTGAAAACCGAAATATCAAAACGTTTTGTGTCTAAAATCTATTGGGATTACCTAAAGGTTGATATGATTTTACAAAGTGCTAGTATTTAAAGATTTATTTTACAATAATACTCTGTGCTGTAAATTACGAAGTGTTTATCTTTCCTATTGGACACATGCATGTATAAGATTTCTCCTTTATGTTTAATATTGCTCTCATTTTTCAAAGAGTCTGTTTCTAAGACCTGCATTTAATTTGCAGGATGAGGTGGTACCTGAGAATGCTCCAGATATTTGGACCCTCCTGGAACATGAGGACCTTGATCAACTAAAATATTTATCGTGGGAAGGGGAAGATGAGGTACATGACAAATTATTGTAGTTGCATGACCACTGATTTCTAATTATGCACAGTTGTTGTACTTATGATGATGTCACTTCCTAACGGTCAGGGTTTAGAAGTAGGGTAAAGAATAACAGTTGTTAGAGTCCCTAGCTTATCATGATGTACAAAATGTTAGGTGCTTTGTCATGGTTATCAAACGCTTTGGAATAAAATTGAAATGCTTTTGTTTATTTTGATTGCTTATATAAGATTCATGTCAATTAACTACAGTAACTTTCATGAAAAATATTGCCCTAAAGCTTTGAATATTTTAATTTACTAACTGTTGTTTCTGGTCCTTGATTAAGAGCCCTCTATACACTGCACACTAGAGAGGTCTGATTTTGTGGTATTTTTATGCAGATAGAGTGATCTGCCCTTTGATCAAGAATAAAATAAATTGAAATGTACAGTTTATTACTTAATTTGTGATCAAATCAAGCATTCATAACACTTTAATAGGCCAAGATGAATAGATAGAACACTTCATTTGCAGGTATATTGCCTACTTAAGTAAATAACTGTGATTTATGTTCATCAGTACTTCATTGTCTTTGAACATTTTCCTGGGGTTGAATGCAAGGCAACCTATGTTGAAAATGTGATAGATAAGCTCAATACTTACACCTTTACACACTATAATTTTCTCCATGTCCAAAAAATATTTTCCTCTAGTGTATAGAGGGTCCTTAAGCATGTTTATTTTGATTATGAGCTGACATTTGGCGGGTTTCTTTTTTATTATGACAAATTGACAAGTTTGTGTTTCATTTCAATTGACCTTTTTTTTTTATTGTCCCATGACTTTGCAAATCTTTACTTTTTCACTGTTTTCTGGACTTTTCTTGTTGTGCCTCTTGTGCCTCTAGATGATGAGATAATTTTTGGTATGTCTTTTTATATTGGTGACTTACATGTACAGGGACTGATTTCCTGTAAATAGATCTATTTTCACAAAAGTTATTAAACACTAACATTTGGTGATAATTTAATGTCTTCCAGTCGGACTCTTATTATTTGCTGTGTACTTGTACAGTATCATATTCGCTAGCCAAAGGTTTCTGATCTGCTACTCTCCTCAGAAACCCTTGGCCTATGGTGCTGTCAAAAGTCGGGACTGTTTTCGTCACGTGATCTCGTATCTTACAACATACATAGAAATTTCGTCATCGACAGAAATAAAAAAAACGAATTTAAAAATTAAAGTGTTTAGAGACTAATTAACGATGAGGTATAGAGCGATGTTTATTTGTTATTTAGGTTGCAAATCTTCATCTACAGTATATATTTCTCATCAAATTATATGCCCATCAACTTAAGATTGGAAGACACCATAGCTATTTATAGAATGGCATGTAATCTTAAAATCGTTGTTTATTTGTATTCCCGAGACTGAAGAGTCAAGATTTATTCCGAATGCAGATATCGTCATTTTCAAAAAAAAAATTGCTGATTGGTCAAACGATATCAATTAACTCCAATCATAACTCGAGAAAAAAATCCAAACTTTTTAAAACCACATGCCAAGGGTTTGTTAGGAGAGTAGCGGATCAGAAACCCTTGGCTAGCAAAGATGGTACAGTACATGCGATCAGCTAGTTTCAAGTCCGTGCTTTTATACTGATTTTTTACAAATTAAGTTCGCGTTTGATGGCGACCATGTTGATAACCCATTAATTTGAGAGTTCTCACATTAGTTTTTGAAAACTAATTACTATAATTAATTATTAACTGTTTTTCTGAATTCTTTTCTGTTGGGTTAGATTTGATGATAATGATGATATTTGATTAATAAAACAAAAGCAGCTGATAAAGCAAAAATATTCCATTTCTTTTTTTTATTATTACACCTCTTCCTATTTTTTATATATTTGGACTGTCAAAGATTAAAATTCGTTTCACAATGACACATCCATTTTAATCTGCTTTAACGAATATCCTTTCTTTGGTTGTTGCGCAGGACGTATTATTCTTATTAGAGCACTGTAGTTGATTACGTCACTCGAAAAATGGCGCATTTGTTTACGGTTGTTTATTACCACAGATGGTCAATGTTGCCCATGTCATAAATATTTATCTTCTTAGTACAAAAAAAGCAAGACAGCGAAGGTGGAACGTTCAGGAAGAAGCAGAAGTGCAATAATTTCAGAATCTTGTAGTTTTTATGTTGACGAGGAAGACACGGTAAGTTGGCTGTATCCATTTTTTGTTCTATGATTACAAGGCATTGTAAGGAATAAGAGAGATTCTGTCTGATAAAGATATGGCCAAAGTCCGTTATCTTGATTTTTTCACAGGATATGGAAAGGAGAGAAGTCTTTTTTAAGTGATTGTTACAGCTCATGAGAGAGAGAGAGAGAGAGAGAGAGAGGTTGTCATAGCCTCTAGTTTTTGGAGGAAATGATTGTCAAAATTTTCGATTTAGCTTTGAGAAGTGATTCTCCCCGAGATTAGTGTTAGTATTTTGAATCTTCTAGAGAGGCATATTTATTAAAGACATCCCAATGAAACTTCATATCTGTTTACATGTCATTAATTTGATAATTGCGAATAAAATAAAAATGATTGTATAATCAATTTTTTAATTAAAAATCAGTCAAAATATTTAGATTTGATTGTCATTAATAAAATTTTGTACTTGAAAAGGGATTATGCTTAATCAAATTCAAAATTTTGTTATTTTAACCAGTGTATCTGTAATTTGCAAAGTATTAACAATGTTTTAGAAAAAAAGAATTTTGATACTAATTATAACCCATCTATTTTTTTTTCATCTTTTGTATTTATGTAGGGGAAGGATTATATTTTTGAAGTCTTCTTATCGCTCTTTTACAAAATAGCAAGATATCTACCATGCAAAATTGAAAAAAAAATGTTCTCATAACTGGGCTTATATTTAAATCAGATCACATCACCTTGTACCCCACTGAGCATCATTCTTTCTGGATTTTCTATTTAGGCAATGAATTGAAGTTGAAGTTTACAGTGTAAGGGAATATATCAGTAAGAAAAATTCAGCATGATACAGATAATGATCTAGCCCTGTACTTTTTTCACAGGAGTTAGAAGAAGAAGAATTCCGGGATGGCTCAGTAGAGGAATCCAGAGAAGATGGGAAAACAAAATCATTAATCAGTGCTAAAGAAAGGAGCAAGACTTTGGCTATGGTATGTATTAGAATTATATATGTACAGTTGCCCAGGTCAATGACTGGAAAGCTAATAATATGATTTGTATCATCTGCTACGGCAGTGCTAAAGAGAATAGACTGCTTCTATGGTATGTCTGTAGTATCATAAATATCATATATGGATAATTACCCACATCAATGAATATGGATCTATATAGCTATTTATAAGCATTTTGTCTTATCTGATAAGCAATGCAAATATTCAGGAATTTACAGTTTATTAGCTGACAGTTTAAAAGATCAATATTATTAAGCTGAGTATTTTATCTCCCATTGCAATTAGCATTACTTTGTACTTTGATACATTTTGTACTTTGTTATAATTTAATCCTTTTATTTTTTGTTAATTTTTGTGGGGAAAAGATTGTTACAGTCTTTAACTTAAGAAGGAAGAGAAAGTCAAAGCCTTAATTTAGGTTTGGGAGGAAGTAATTGCCACAGCTTATGGTTTATTTCTTGGCACTAAGAGGGGGTGAACTTGAGAAAATATGAGACATATTGAGAGTAAATTCATACTATCTTAATATAAATAAGATCCTCAACAGAGAATGCTTGATCCCAGCACTTATGTTTTCGTTAATTCATATTTTACATATCTAGGGAGAAAGGTTTACGAAAGCTAATTGTGATATTTTAAAATTGAAAATATATGCATGTATACATGAATTATATTTTAATGGAAAAATACCGGTCAAAGGATTTTTGACTTTATGAAATTATACCCTTATTTTCAGAATGTTATTAAAAACTGCGTAAATAAGTATTAAATAATCAATTTAGCAAAGTTAAATACATATATTATGACATTAAACATATCAATTTATACAATCCATCAGATGACTTTTAATGTCCCCGTAATCGAAGATTCGGGGGCATAGAGTCTTTGCCCTGTCCGTCCGTCCGTCTGTCTGTCTATCTGTCTGTCTGTTTGTCCGCAAAAACTTTAACCTTGCCCATAACTTTTATTAAACATAAACTTTTCCCTTCGTGTATCATCGGCGCTTTCACTTCTGTAACCGAATTCCGAGATACTTCAAAATTTTTACAAGAAACGTTTGATTGATAATTGAAAAGTCACCAGGAGATGACTCTGAATTGGGTTTCTTCAGATCCTTGTGTAGCGATCTATGTGAGCGGATCAAAGGATATGATTTTAATCAGATTGCTTTTAAACAGTTGGTGCTAGGGCTTTCATATGTCACATATGCATTCCTTGTGACAGGACCTTCCTTTAGATACCAACAACTTTGACCCTTTACCTTGATCTTGGAGTTTGACCTACTTTTGAAAAACTTAAACCTTGACCATAATTTTTGAACAGTTGGTGTTAGGGCTTTCATACTTCACATATGCATTTCTTGTGACAATACCTTACTTTTGATACCAACAACTTTGTCCCTTTGACCTTGACCTTGGAGTTTGACCTACTTTAATTTGAAAAACTTTAACTTTGGCCATAACATTTGAACGTTTGGTTCTAGGGCTTTCACATTTCAATATCATGTGTATCACTTGTGACAAGATGGAGTTTGACTTGCATTTGAGAAACTTTAACCTTCGCCACAAGCTGCCATACGGGGGCATCAGTGTTTCACAAACACATCTTGTTTTCTTTTATAATCGATTTCAATTTTCCAGCCGGACAATGAAGTACCAGAGATGTCCTCACCTGATTTAAAATTTCTGACGTCCCGTAGCCCGATGAAACCCCCTCTACAGGTCGCCGATGATGAGGTAAAGTTGCAAATAATTGGATCTTATGCGTAAGTACTACGACTTGATTGTTCCAAGGAATACATGAGTCGCCTGCTTTATAGCATCATTAAAAATTGAAATAAATCTAAGGGTGGTCAGATATTTATATGTTACTAGCATTATAACAAAGAAAAATGCAGAGAAGCATAACACACAGGGAGCACCTTTTCTTACAGTAGTTTTTTATGTAGTTTTACTATGTAAATTTTTATTTGGAAGCTGCTTACCCCTTCCATCACTTTTTGTTGCTCTACGTCGAACTAAAGACCAATTTCGCCATTAAGAAAATGGAAAAGTTAACGGTCACCCCCCCCCCCCCGCGCGCGAAGTAGGATTTTCAAGTTTGGGCAGTTTTTCTTTGGACCTTAACCCACAAATAGTAAGACCGATAGAATAGCATTTATTTATTTATAAAATCTGACAATCAAATAGAAATATGGTTCCCCAACCCTCAAAGCTAAAGAGAATAATGAAATATGGTGAAATGATTAGAAATAATTATTTGTCATTTTTAAAAACAACTATCCTCCAAAAGAGATTCCAGTCTTTCTTTACTTCAATTGTCAGTCTACAACGATCCTTTTGGTATGCCGATCCCGACGTATTTTTTATAGTATTTAAATTTCAGTTTGTGCTATCTGTATAGCTTCAGTTTCAAAGTACAGTCTCATGAGCTCATAAACATTTGATATAAATACTAATTATCAAAACCTTGCCTCTCAAAATAAAAGAAAAAATTAATCATCCGTATATTTGCAAAGTAGGTCAAAGGTCAACGTCAAGTGGACTGTTACGCTACTATTTTCATAATGTTTTGTGGCAAACTGTGCACATGCTAAATAACATAGATTTACCTCTTAAATATCAAAGATATGCTGTATATGCAAATGAACTATTTTGAAAAGTAGGACAAAGATCAAGTTCAATGGTCATGAGATCGGTAACCATGATATTTTAAAAAGTCAAAGTGACAAGCAATATCTGTGCAGAATATCAAATCAATACCTCCCATAGTGTAAATCATATACGGTAACAATTTTGAAGCACCAGATGCTCATTTCGACAGATTATGTCTCTTCAGTGATGCTTATGCCTAAACGTTAGAAATCCGAAATACAGGTGACTCTCGATCTCTCGAAGTTCAAGGGACCGTAAGAAAAGTTCGAGAGATCGGGGGGTTCGAGAGATAGAAAGTGAATAAAATCCGGAATTTTCAGTTCCGATCATCATTGTTCTACTATTATACATACCGGAATTATATGTTGATTACAGTACCAACCAGACCCAACCTGACACCTAAGCAGTCCCAGAAAGCAGTCCCCGGGACTGCTCTGGGACTGCTGTGGGACTGCTCTGGGACCGCTGTGGGACTGCTCTGGGACTGCTCTGGGACTGCTCTAGAAAGCAGACCCAGCAGTCCCAGCAGTCCCTGGGACTGCTTTCTGGGACTGCTTTGTTCACTCATGCATGAAAAAGGTTCTGAATGACATGATAGCTCCGCCCCTTGTGTATTCTGAATTTGCAGGCTCCCTGTTGTTGTTTTGTGTACTTTCAGCAGAGAGGTGTTTAAGATAAAGAATTTAAAAAAAAACAAGGATTTCTTAGAAATTTTTTAATAAGTAGAGATAGATTTACATGTAATTACTAAATGTCTTCAGGGGCTGTAAATTTACACAATTGTAGTCTAGAATTAATTAAAAAAATGAAAGTAGTTAAAAAGGGAAGAAAGTAGTTAAAAAGGGAAGTCAGGAGATGACTTTTATTCCTTAAATTAAACTTTAATACAGGTGTCTGAAAAAAATATCTAGGCCTATTTAATTAATTAATGCTAATTAAAACTTCAATACAGGTGTTTTAAAAAAAAATTAGGCCTATTTAATTAATTAATGCTGTCAAATTATGTACTCAATTTTTGCATTAGCACTATTTAGAAAACAAACAAACTTGTCATTACAGTAAGATATTCAGAGGGACATACTGTACTGGATTTTTTTTAAATTGAAAAGGCTAAAACCATGCTAAAAAAGAGCAGGCTATTTTTTTTACCGCCCTCAAATAAATCTTAATAATTTTTTAAATGACAATGAAGTAAAATTATTCTACCATTCTTTAGTCATTTAAACAATGTGAACAATTATTGGGGGATTTATTTATGAATTTGTTTTTGATTTATAAACAAGTTATTAAAATAGTAAATTTATTAAAAAAAAAAAAATAAACACTTGAAATTATTGGGAATTGTGACTTATTTCTTATTTGTTTTGTTTGTGTTTTCCTGGCCAAATAATAAAAAGCAATACAGATGTATAAAATGGTGTCAACACCTGAGGTTTCAATCGCCTTTGGGCATGATTAGCAGAAAGTCAATGCATGTTATATTGGGTATCAGTGTTACACATCACTGAACACGCTGGTCAACAATGACACTAATTTTAATCTATGCACTTCAAAAAATCTTTGTTTCAATAAATGTGTATAAATTTATTTCGGGATTAATTTATTTTGAACATAATCTGAGGGTTCCATTCGCGTGATTTACAGATGTACACTCGAACGTTTATATAATAAGAGTGTTATTGTTTTCTGTTACATAGAGAATCTAACGATCATAATACAATTGGCAAGTCAGTGAAAATAATCATAACTGAAATATAATACTCGGCAAAATTTAACAAAGAATTTTTCAAAAGCTCCAGTACTTAAGAAAAATGCATTCAGAGTATAGTACGGGAATCGGCCTTATTCTATAATTATAAGATTTATTTAAAGCTAGTTCTGATAGAAAATAATTAACTCAAGTTTAATTTTCTATAAAAAAAAATAAATAAATATGGAAACCAATATCAATCACAGTAAATTAAGAAATTGATTTATTTGGGTGAAAAATTAATATACCACATAACTGATTTTAAATATTCAGGTTATTAGTAGGTGTGAACGTCTTCTTTGTTCAATATTATTTGTTTCTATACGCCTAGTGTTATTTTTTAACAGTTCAGAAATAACTGTCGCATTAGAATTGTAAACATTTGTTGACACTGCTCAGAAAGAAATGCATCATCAATTTCAACTGCCTTTTATAGTTACATTGTTTATTGGTAATCTCATTTCTGAGTAAGCTCCGCCCATTAAATTAATTAACCCCGCCCACTGGGACTGCTGGGAATGCTTTCTGGGACCGCTGGGACTGCTTTCTGGGACCGCTGGGACTGCTCTGGGATCGCTGTGGGACTGCTCTGGGACTGCTTTAGCAGTCCCAGAGCAGTCCCAGAAAGCAGTCCCCGGGACTGCTCTGGGACTGCTTTGTGTCAGGTTTGGTCTGGTTGGTACTGTATGTTATTACACGTTTTCATTCATATTTTACAGGTAATTCACTTGATTTCAACAGCAATGATCGTGTTTCGAATAAATGAAATGATTATCTTTAGTCTCAATATTTATTTGTTGTCATTTCATGATTACATGAAACCTGAGTAGCAATTGTCGATTTTGCTAACCCCCGTGCGCGGGCTTGATCGGTCCTTCAGAAGATTGCTCGTAATCGGTATACAATTCTTGAGATAGGATTTCTTGTGCAATGTTTGCCAAACTGGGATTGTGTAAACTCTAATAATATTAAAGTTCATAATCTATGGAAAATTACTGACACGTCCCTAAATCATTTTCTCAAACTTATCGTCTCGTCCAGTCAAAATAAGTTGTGAAGCGATTTGTTTATAATTTACCAATTGACCAATTAATTTTATTAACACTCGGACGACTCACAGGTGTAGTATCATCTATGTAAACAACCAATTAACCCGTCCATCCCAGCCCCAGGCGTTCACTGTTTTCCAGATAAGTCCAAGCTGAATTAATTTTACGCTTGATCGACGTGTATACAAGCGCAATCAAAACTTGGAGAGATAGAGAGTAAAAAACAATGAAATCTGTGTAACGGGATCCAGGTCTTGGTTAGAGATAGAGAACTTCGGGAGTTCGAGAGATCAGGAGTAAATTTGCTTAGTTATATAGAGGAACTACGAGAGATCGAGATCGAGAACTTCGAGAGATCGGAGTTCGAGCCATCGAGAGTCACCTGTATTTAAATAAAAATTTAAACAGCTGAAAAAGGGGTGCCAAAGAATGGAGCCAAATACATCGAAGGATCAGAGCTAGGCATGAGGGAGATAATCCTTAATTTTGAAATAAAATTACTGAATTTTATCACAGCAATTTAATATATATTCGTATTTTCAAGCTAGTACCGAAGTACTTGGCTACTGGGCTGTAGAAACCCTCGGCGACTACATGTAACAGTCCACCAGCAAAGGCCTCGACCCAGTTCTTCAGATATAAGATTTATCAGACGGACAGACGGGCGGACGGACAAACAAATAGACGCCGGGTAAAATGATCCCTAATTGCCGCTTTGAGCTGCAGGCGACACAAAAAGTATGATTCCAATGAAATTTGGCTTTCTGTTGCCAGTAGTTTCGTAGGATCTTTTAAAGCATTTTTATTTGAATATTTTACCCAATGAAAACAATCTACCCGCATAGATTTTAAAATTAAGCAATTTGTTTATTTAAATGCATATAATCGGTGTTGATTATTGTTTAATTTAATGCATATACCAATTTTTATTGTATTTAAGCCTACATATGAAGCCCCCGATGAAAAGGATAATATACCTGCATCACCTCCTATTAAAGGTCGGAAGCAGCCTCCTCTTAAACCGGATGAACCTTCTCCCACTCAATCTGACTGGTCAGAGGTACATACAGCCACAAATTAAACCATTGTAATTAACATAGGATCAGGTTGTTTTACATGGATAATTATAGGGAAAACATATACTCAAACGACTTTTGGAAATGAAAGATATTACACGGTAAAATTCTTTTTGTTACACCTTCATCGTAGTTTTTTAAGGTAGCCCGAGACACTTAGGTGACCCATTGCTATCCGTTTTTCGTCTGTCGTCGTACGTCGTGTGCTAAACTTTAAACATTTTCAGGTTTCTTTCTGGAACTACTGGACAGATTTCAATCAAATTTGGTATATAACATCTATGGATAAAAGGAAACAAAAATTATGGAATTCATGGCCCCTGCCCCCCCCCCCTTCCAGGGCCTTAGGGGCGTTGTTAACACCATAAAACCAATACAATCCTCGAAAATCTTCTTTACTCCTGGACATCAAGCAGTCAAACGGTTGACATGATTTTGAAAAGCATTGAATCTCCTACAAAAATTGAGAAAATCATGGTCCAGGCGTTCTTCTGCTAGGGCAGGGTTCTGTAGATCATATAGTGAAAGTTTCTTTAAAAAATCTTTTCCTCTACCCCTTGGTATTAAGCAAACAAACTAAAATCATAGTTATAATGAGCTAGGGTGCCTCTTCCAAAAATCTTTTTCTCTGCTCCTGGCTATTAAGCAAACAAACTAAATGCATAGTTATTTTGAGCAAGGATTTTTATTCCACAATTATTAAATTCATGTTCCCTACATCAAGGTTTTGGTTTTTGGGCAGGCCTCTTTTGAATACTAGTATAAAATATGGTGAAAATGTATGAAAATCTTCTTCAATATAGTTATGATTAGCAAGTGTTCCTCTTCTAAAATTTTAAATAGAAAGGCCCCTGGGTCAGGGATTCTGGAATAAGGGATTGGCTATCTTTAATCTAGAGGGAGAACTCATTATTTCTTTTGAAAATCTTTTCTACTCCTGGTACAAAGTTGTAATAAGCAAAGATATTTTTACCCGGTTTTCGAAATTCGGGACCACTTGGTGAAGTGTTCTGGTGCAGGGCTGGACGCGATAAACTCGTTTTTTTTTTTTCTGAGAGACGTTATTCCCCTTTGGTATTCAGTCACGATAATTCATCACTTTAAATAATGTAATTGAAATATCAATTGAATAAGAGAATTACACAAGAACTTTTGTAATATATATTTAAATATATACATGTATATAGGATCTCCCATGATTTGTGGTTGGATATGATTTTTATCCAACGAGTTGTGTGCTTTTTTATCCCTAAACCTTGGCGAGGGGATAAAAAAACACGACGAGTTTGATAAAAATCATACCTAGTTGAATAAAAATCATACCCAACCAAAAATAATGGGGGACTCTTTTTATCACATGTTTGATACATCACTATCAATTTGTTACACTGTTTTTATACATGAATCAACATTATTTTACTTCATCACTTTCACACAAAAACCATTGTGATGTCACAGCAGTGGTATATGAAAGAAATATCCGATGGGTGATACAAAATAATACAAAGAGAACTTTCGTAGTTTTTAATGCTCAGGTAGACTTGTTTTGTTTCTTTGTTCGTTGATTAACGTCCATTCTATAATGGAGACGTCAGTACCTGCAAGTGTAACGACGAAAAATGATCCTCGTAAAATATTGACCGGGGTCATTTTTCTACGTAGAAATTTGATCCCATGGTCAATATTCTATTTAGAAAAATGACCCACTTTTCCGTAAAAATTATGGCCTTGGTGTCAGTTTTCTCCGTGTGGATTGTAGAAAAATGACCCCGTAGAAAAATGACTGAGTCATTTTTTGATACAAAAAACTGGTTTTGGTAGGAATATTCTTGTTAGGCAAATACATAGGGGTAAAATCACACAGCCATATGATATGAAGTGTTTATCTCTTAAAGCTTTAAACTTTAAATAACAAAGTTGAAACGTTATACCTTACATCAATAACACAAGATGTTTTATCACAATTACAAACAAATAACAAGGCTATAATGACGTTTTGTGACTATAAGAGTAGCAAAACGTGCATTCTTAAGGAATGTTTTTAAGTTTTATGCGAGTTATTGGTGTGTTTATCACACAGACTTGTCACCTAGGTATATTTCATGAAGCGCGCTAGCGCGCTTCATGAAAAATATGCCTACCTGCAAGTCTCTGTGATTTACACACCAATAATTCACACTAAACTTAAAAACAGTCCTTATATTTACATTTTACATGTTCAAAAGCACCAAAAATGCACTCAATGTTTGAATTATTGGCTGTCCTTTATCATTACATTTTCATAAATGTCTCTGTAGCTTACTGTGACGTCACTTTAGCGCGAGTTTCTCCGTGCATATTTCAACGCGTGAGTATACACGAAAATGGCATTCAAATATATTTTACAGTTGACTTAATAGGAAAACATAGCAAATGTAAATATTTAGATTTGTTTTATCAACTTTTATAAATAAGTTTCCAAAGTTGTCATTATTTTTAAAATCGTTTTCTTAGCTGGTGTCAGAAAGAGAAGCACATTAATAAAAAAATATAATTTCGATAATTGTAATCCTCTTTGATTTTATTCCCGGTAAATAATGTGCAAAGAATCAAAATAAGATCTAAAATGATTTTTTCATCAAAAGTAATAAGAAATGTTAACGTTTTTGAACCTTACGCAAGTAAATTTGCGTGAAATGTAATAGGCAATTGTTAAGAAAATTAAATCTCATAAATATCTTTGATTTTCTATGAATATAATTTCAAACTTCTTCTAAAAAAACGTAGGGAAAATTAAATTTGTGAAAAAATAACAGACAGACTAAATCAAAATGCCTCTGATCTTCGATCTTAGGGACACAAAAAGTGATTAGCTCACAATCTTTACCAATATATGTCTTTTGTCGTTTACTAGTGCCAACAAAGCCTAAACAAAATGAAGCTATTCACATAAAAAAATTGCTTTAATAAAAAAAGAGGTCTTTGTACATGCCCAGAAGAGATTTTTTTTCTATTGGCTAGCATTACATGTTAAGAGTAGGTTACAACTCCGTAACCTCCTCTCCTCAAAACTCGCCACTATAGATACGCTAACACGAATCTCGCATGATACTTGATTCGAACACAATGAGTTACAACACCTGACGAATGGATGGTGTAACACCAACACCCCCCCCCCCCCCCCCCGCCCCCCGCTCCTTTTATTTGATACAAAAACTTACAAAAAATACATGAATTCCTAATCTATTATACTTATATTTCGATATCTGATATCATTTTCCGCTTTTCAGAAGCGGGAGGGGGGGAAGGAGGGGGGTTACACTATCCATTCTTCAGGTGCCCGTGTACACAATTCAAGCGTTCTTGATATGCGATACGAGCTAGGTTTAAAAATATGAAAGGGTTTTAGGATAAAAGGGAAAAAATCTTTTTTTTTTCTTTCATCAAGAAATTTGACCCCCAGGTCAGTATTTTACCGGGGTCCCTTTTCGTCGTTACACCGGTGGAGGGCTACAAATTTAGACCTCTACTCGGCGTTTACGGCCTTTGAGCAGTAAGGGATCTTTTTCGTGGCAGCATTTACTGTGAAACGGAACCTCGCTTTATACGGTCTCATCCGAAGGACCGGTCTCTATGTCACACAGTGAATTAGAACCCGTAAAGATCAACTCCTTACCAGGTAGACTTGTAAATAATTCATAAATAAAAATGAGTCAAAAATACCTCATCTTGGTACATTAAATGTTCTTCAAAGACCAAGGAGAGCAATGTGAGAGGGGTTGAGATTGATTAACTAACAGTGCTAAAGCACTACTGTTTTGTCTGCATGGTGATAGTGAGAAACGGTGGCAAGTACAGGCAAGGAAATAGATTTGTTAGTGAATATTTCACTTATTATTTTTTTCATTCCTGATCATATATCTCTTCCTTTTGGGTAACATAGCTTCAACAGCTGACCGTTAAGGCCCTTGGGCCTATTTTTCTTATCAGTTATATAAAATATGTCGGTTTCAAAACAATTAAGTATATCGACTACTTATGCTGAATTTCTCTGAAGATGTAGATAATGAACCAACCCCAATCCCTGCTCCTATACCTGGGAAAACAATGATTTTGACAGTTTAGAGTTGTTTAATCAAATAATATTTGAAATTAAATTTTTTTATGGCAACTGATGAAGAAAAGTTTCACTGCTTTTAGCATGAAAATCACTCATTCATTATTTTCAGATACACGAAAGACATTTGTTTTTTTATAAAGTTCATACTTTTTCAGCATAGGATGCAACCTGTTCCTACTGTCCAGAAAAGTTCACAGTACCTAACCAAGACCGTATCAGACTTTGTTGTATTAGTCCCAGCCCGTGGACGACCACCACCACCCGTCCCAGTAGAGTGTAACGACAGCGATACCTCGAATTCTGTAAGAGTATTTTTACATTAGTGTGATGTAGCTTTCACGTTTCATATTACAAACAATGAACATTCAAAACACACTTTTTATAGAACTTGAGACCTAAGTATTACTTGTTAAAATGATTATTTTAAAATATATATATGCAGATCTGTTATAAATGTTCTAAAATATCTTATACCCTATAGCAAAAATACTAAAGTTAACTCTAATTAGCTTTAGTTTATTATAGTTAATTATAGTTTATTAAAGTGAAGTATAGTAAATGAAAGCTTTTTACAAAAATAAATGAAATTCATGTAACTACGAAATTCAATTTAACTGCTTCGGATTTGTATTGTTTCAATAATAATAATAAAAAATTAGGCTTTTGGCAAGAACGCAAAGTTTTTATTTATTTTAAGCATGTCTTATTGGGTAAATACAAGCCACAGCAAAGGTTCTTATTTTACACGGAAATATACAGCCTTGTGATTAGCAAAAAAATTGTGATAGACAGTATGAACCTTTATATGTTTAGATATTTATTGGTGACTCAGGTGAACATTGCGGCCTATTGGCTTCCTTTTTTAGGATCAGATAAAGATTGGTGTTTTGTGCAATTGGCATTTCTGCTATTTAATGTAGCCAACCATTCAATTCAATAAATTTTAGATTTTACTTAACAGCAAAATTAGCCGTTTATGCTAGTGCTTATAGAACAAACAAATGTGTAATTTGTGTAGTACATTTGTTCAAATCTATATTTAAGCCAATGTTGAAATGACATTTATGTAAATGCAAAAACTTTGAAATGAAAACATAAGTAAAAATTCATAATACATGTAGTACCTCTTTTAACTTAAATATTTCCATGTGAATTGCACTCTTTATTTTAGTAACATGAACAAAGCCGCTTAATGAGTATATGTAAGACCTTTAATATGACAGATCACTTTAGTCAAAATCTTCCAGCAGAGGGCTTCATTGAGGTGTGATTATACACGGTATTTCACAGATGCTCCTGTGTCACACCTTCCTCTTGAGATATTTTTTTCCCTTTTACGTCTGAAAGAAATTCTGAATTTTACTCAATTGGCACTTTAATAGGTAAATTTTTCAAAGTCTTCTTGTATAATGTGTGTATTTGGCTTAATGTACTTAAAAGAACATTTAATTATCTATTGTAAGTTCCTTGCAAAAACTTTTTGTTATTTAACATAAAAAAATATTAGAGTCAATTTTGTAGCTAAGATACCAGATTTTGGATGGGAATTTTGTAAATAGAAATTTCAATTTTGTAAATAGCATTCCACGTTGTTGGATGGAGATATTGTTTCAAAAACTAAAATATTTTCATTTTGTAATTTGTATAAATAAATATATTTTTTTATTAATCTTACTATGATAAATTTTTAATTGGTTATAAGAATTTTTAGTTTTCGTATTTGTTCACGTTCTGCTTCCAGCCTCAAATCACTGTTCCATCTTCTCAACATTTCCTAAGTTACATAGACTTCTTTTTTAAAAGAATTAATAAATGATAAATAAATAGATATCCACAACATAACCCAGCCGAAGAGGCCTTTAATGTGGTTTAATGCCAACTCAATAAACAGGGAAAATGAAGATGAGAGTTGAGATATAATTGCAAATACTTACAAAAAAGAATTCTGCATCTTCGCTAGCCAAGGGTTTCTGATCCGAAATCTACTCTACAACGGTTGTAGAGTACATTTCGGATCGGAAACCCTTGGCTAGCGAAGATGAGAATTTTGTAATTCCTGTCAGCCTTATTCAAAGTTCTTGATGCAAAAGCTACTGGGTGCTACCTCCCGTCCTACACCACATGCGACAAAACTGCCCCTAATCCAAAAGATGACCACACATTAACCTGATTTGTAGGTTTCGGATCAGAATGACATAATTCTTGATCAAAAGTTACCAATTTTTCTGCTTTCTCGAAAGTTTCCTGACATACTTTGGTATTCTGCTATTAAACATCCTTTTCCAGGAGTTTGAGTAACGGATGGTCAATGGATGATAGATTTGGAATGAATTTGTGATAGTAATTTGCAAGACATAGAAATGCAAGAGGCTGTATTGGCGCAGAAGTGTCCTACACAGAATTTATTTTATTGTTGTCTTGTTTGAGCCATGTTCGTCAAATAAATGTCCACATTATTCGAATTGATCCTGAAAGAATTGGCATTTGGATTTATTCGTTCTTAAATTATAGTCCTCCGGTCTCTGTAGAACTTGACGTAAGTTTTCCAAATGATGTGCATCATTCCTTCCCGTAATAACCATTTTATCCAGAATGCACATTTATTCCTTGCAATATTGTGTCAATAGTGCGTTGTCATATTGCAGGTACTGACGCTACCCCGAATAGGAGTCGGTTGTAACGGTATAATCCTCGATATGAATTGATTGCTAGAAACTTCTTTGGTTCTATTTCAAGTTGCAGATAAGCGTTCTTCAGATTGATCTTGAAGAATTTCTGTCCACAAACCAACGAAACAAATATGTCCTCAATAAGCGAGGCAATGAGTATTTTCAATTTTAAGATTTCGGATTTATCATAACTGAAATCCCTACAATGTCGGATAATGTCTGATCTTTTTACTATCGGCAAATTCGCAGCTAGGTTAAGGACTCCCATACTTACATAAGCCTATGTAGAGGTTCGGGAAATCGATTATGGCGTCACGTTAAACTATATAAATGATTCTCGGCGATTAGATACTAATGTTCTTTTTCTTACATACTCAAATAGTCTTTTCTCATAAATAATGTAAATATAATTCGATGTGTAACTTATCTTGCCATAATAACACTATTTGAATGTAGAATGAAAGCCACTTTGATCTCGCTACACTGACTAAAATGACGTCACTGACTAGTTTGATACGCAGTTTCTCTGTACTTGAGGCGTGGATCAAGTTATTGTTATAGGTTGTTAATATGACAATTAAAATGAAACAAGCGTGATCTGACTAAAATGGCGACATATTCTTGTATTAATCAATATTTTATGGCCTAATTAAATTGAAATTGTACAGACCTCATATATAGCCTCAGTAAGGCAAACTTATACAGTAACGTACTAGGATGACAGGCACAGCCCCTCGAAAATCAACGATATCCGCTTCACTATAAATTATGAGTTTTTAAAGACGTGTGACTATTATACCTACCAGTTTGAAAAGTGTTGGGAGCTGGTTGTGCGTTGTTGCCTTATTCCGTAATTTAACATTATTTCAACGCGTATTATGTCAATGTAGAAAGCAAATTTTGTGTTGTTCTTATTATTTAACACAATAAATTACTACCAGAAGGCATCTTTAAGATTTACATTTTCACTCTAGACTAAAGCAAACAAACTTTGTACAGAGTATTAAAGTCTGGCAATACAATTTGATATTCTTGGGATTGAGTGATGATGTTCTAATACATATTTAATTTATGAAAACCGTTCACTGGATTTCTCTGCCAAAGAGTGCTGTTTATTGATTTGCTGAGTGCAAAAACAAAACTTTGAAAATGAAATATGTGGAGATAACGAACAGTAGGTGAGCTCAAAAGTCCATTAAACAAAATAGGAGCAGAGCAAACACGGACCTCCAAAACATCAGAGGGGGATCAGGTGCCATGGAGGAGTGAGCATCCCCTGTCGACCGGTCACATCCGCTGTGTGCTCCCTGTCATGTTCAGAAAAGAAACGGAAAAATCCGTCGACAATTCAGTGTGTTAATAATGGCCTAACAATCAGTTTGAAAAAAATCACAAGATTAAGAATACATAATCTTACAGAGTGAAACAATCGAGATGAAAAAAAAAAATAGAAACATAGTCAGTGGTCATGGTCATATGAACTCTTGATTACATGGGTGTTGCTCATTATAAAATAATTAAGAACATGTCAAGTATGTATGCATCATGCATCTTTTTTTTTTTAAAAAAAAAAAAAAAAAGTCAACTGTTATTACATACAGGACTTGATTTTTTTTTTTTTTTTTTTTTTTTTTTTTTTTTTTTGCAATTAAGCTTGATTCCTATACGTTTGTTTAATCTTTGAAAAACAGCTCCTATTAATATTATATGTTCATTACATTCTCTTATAATCGATTTAAATTTCCAGTCTGACTATGAGGTACCAGAGAAGATGTCCTCACCTGCTCGAAAACTTCCAACATCCCGTCCCCCGAGGAAAACCCCTCTTAAGGTCACTAATGATGAGGTAAAGTACAAACAAATGGTTCTTGTCCATAAGTACTGTGAAAAGTTCATGTATGATTCCAATATAAAATTGGGCTTTCTGTAGCCAGTAGTTTTTGAAGGTCTTTTAAAGCATTTTTATTTGAATATTTTACCTTGTGAAAAAGTCAACATGTATATATCTTAAAGTACAATTTATTTATTTAAATGCATATACTCGGGTTGATTATTGTTTATTTTAATGCATATACCTATTTTATTTGTATTTAAGCCTAAATATGAAGACCCCGATGACACAGACAGTGCACATACGTCACTTCTCATCAGAAGTGGGGCGCAGCTTCCTCCTAAACCTGTTGAATCTCCACCCACTCAATCCGATTGGCTGGAGGTACATAGATCCACAAACAGCTTGTTTTAATGGATACTTATAGGGAAAACTTTTGCTCAGATGACTTTTGGAAATGTAAATTATCATTTGTTAAAATTCTAATATATATCTTCAGCTTAGCTTTTTTCTTATCATTTATATTCAAAATGATGTTAAAGTAATTTCAAAGCAATAAAGATTATGCCTTTACTTTTGCAGAATTTCTATAAAGATGTAGATAATGATCCAACCCCAGTCCGTGCTCCTTTACCTAAAGAAACAAAGGTTTTGACAATTTAGAATTGTTTAATCATATAATAATTGATATTAGATATCTTCTTATGGCAGTTAAAGAAATAAAAGTCGTAACTGTTTCACTGTATGAAGAATAAAAAACCATTCATTTATCATTTGCAGACACACGAGACCACATTTGTTATTTAACCAGTACATGTATATACATTTTTCAGCATAGGATTCTACCTGTTCCTACTGTCCAGAGAAGTTCATCAGACCTACCTAAGACTGAATTAGAGTCCGTTATATCAGTCCCACCCCGTCCTTTTCGTACCTGCTTAAAGACTAAAGGGCGACGACTACCTCGACCAGTCCCAGCAGAGTGTCATGACAACGATGCCTCAAATTCTGTATGTAACATTTGATTGATATAGTCTACTCTAAACTTTCACGTTTCATATCACAGTCAACATTAAAATTACATTTTTTCTATAAAACTGGAGATCCAAGTACATATAACTCGTTATATTCAATAATCATAGATGTAGTCTACTCTAAAGCTTTCACGTTTCATATCACATACAAGGAACATTAAAATTACATTTTTCAACAGAATTTGAGACATAAGATTCACTGTTAAATTCAATAAAAAATTAAAAATGTTTTGGCAGATCTTTTATAAATGTTCAAAAGAAGTCTAAAGCTCTGGTGAAAAATACTATAGTTAACCATAATAACCTTTGGTTTATTATAGTTAACTATAGTTTATTATAGTTAACGATGGTAAATCATTTTTACACTAGTAAATGAAAGTAATTTAACCACGAAATTCAAATCCTTTATATTTCACTTATCTTAATTTTCAAGCGTGATTTTTTTTTGTATATATAGGAAAGACTACTTGCATATTAAGAATATTTCAAAAATTACCGTTGTTGATAATAAATTTGTGAGATATTAAACTGTCCTACACTTTTTTACGTATTCATGTTCTTAATCATTGTAGGAGTAAGAAGGGGCAAAAATTCAATGCTATATGTTTGTCAAAAAACAGAATTTCTAACGATAATATTTTTATGATAAACTTATATATACACTGTAGCTGTAGAATATTGAGGTTAAATGTTAAATAGTTATGTGCACAGATCCGTTTGGTCCTAAATTGTATATAACTGTTTTGCAAGTATGAGTTAATATAAAAGACACATTTGTAGTAAAACACATTGTGATGATAGTTCCTTTTAAAATGTTTTAAAATATACGGATTAGTTTATATTCATGTTTTATTTATGACCTTCACTGGAAACGTCACACTGACATGAACATAAAATGCATGTGGATAGAATGTAACCCCTGATTTGCCGCATGTTAACAGGGATATTATTTATCTGCATTCTTGGTAAGCGTTATTCTGGGAAAAATAGGTAAATTAAATTTTTTTTTTTGACTTTTCTAACTACAAATTTCCAAAACTAATGATAATTCAAAAATCTTATGTAAGGTATGATTTGAAATTTATAAAAGACAGTATTCATAAACGGTCAAACATACAGAAAAGCGGACAGAAATGCTCTAACTTGAATTTTTAAAAAAAAAACACACACACATTTGTACATCAACGAACTTATAATAATATTTTTCTACATGACATTACCATTTCTTAGCGCATTTTTGTTTATATTTGCAGATAACTCAGAGGTTTATCAACATAGATAGAGTTATAATAGAGTCCATCTGTTGAACTCCTTCTAAATTATTATAATCCATTGAATTCCAGCCGAAAGCGTAGATTCCATATTATTTCTAGCTTGATTTTCGTTATAAAGGAAGGTGGATATCAAATGTGACTCATTTGCAAATCTACAAATGAAATTACTTATAACTCAGCGTTTATTAGGTATTAACTAGCACATCACTGAAATATAGCCCAAGAAAGGCCTGCCCCTTCAATGGAGTGATTATGAAGAAAAGGAAATCATGAGTTATGGTCATTTAAAAATTAAGTAGGCCAGATCAGAGGAAACATGTACTGTTAATGAAAAAACATTTGGTAAATAAGTAACACCTGAGAAAGAGAATTTTTGGATAACATTTTTTGGAACTTATTTCTCCTATCAAAAGGTCCTTATACCTTAAGAATAGATTTTAACTTACTGCCAGTTAGACTTTTTCGCTGGTGCTTGTAGAAAAAAAAAACAATGTCTCATTTGTGTAGTACATTGTTTTATCTATTGTACATTTTATATTTAAGTCAATGATTGAAATGAAATTCATGTATATCCAAAAACTTTGAAATAAAAACAAAGAAAAAAATATCCTAAAAGTTAGTACTCGAAATAATTACTCTTATTAACATATACTTTCATATGAATCAAACTCTTACTTTAGTTACATAAACACAACGGCTTAATGAGTAAGAACTTTAAAATGACAGATCACTTTAGTCTGAATCTTCCAGCCGAAGGCTTCATTGAGGTGTGATTATACTCGATATTTCAAAGATTTCATGTGTCACGCCTTCCACTTAATATAATTTTTAGGTCACCTAAGTAACTCAGGTGACCTTTTTGCTATCTGTTTTTATGTCCGACGTCGTGTGCTGTGTGTTAACATTTCAACATTTACAGCTTTTTCTCTTGAACCGCTGAACCAATAACAGCCAATTTTAGCATATGGCATCAAAGGGTAAAGGGAAACAAAATTTCGAATTTCACGATCCCTTCCCTCTCGGGCACGAGGGGTGGGGCTTAAACCAGAGTTGATCCTTTACCAATATTGTGAAATTCATGGCCCCTTGGTCAGGTGTCCTGGTGTTAGGGGGATCTATTGATTATATAGTGAAAATATATAAATTCTTTGAAAATCTTAATCTCTGCTCATGGGTATTAAAGGTGCTTAGACACAGATTTGAACTCAATATTTTCTTAAATTTTCTGTATAATATTACGACTTATATATTGCAATAGCATTTCACACGAAAATATAATTAAAACTTATTTTATCTTGAAATTATTGGAACTACGAATTCCGGGACGCCTTTGATTAACACATCTTTGCACTTACACAAATTTTAACTTTATCCTTAATATTTAAGAAAAGAAGCGATTTTGTTGTGTATTAATAAAAAATATTACATCTATAATCCAGAAAATTCAGAGTAGAAATGTTCGAAAGCAAATCCAACTCAACAGTATTGTCAGTCCGTGCTCTGTGATGTGTACAGCGTTTAACAAATTGAACACACCCGTGAAATTTAAACTGTTTTTGTAAACAGGGCACGAGCTCTGTTATCGTTTACGATTCACCGGGTGTGTTCAATTATTAATCTCTGCACACACCATTGAGCACGGACTGACAATACTGTGAGTGGGTTTTGCTTTCGAACATTTCTACTCTGAATTTTCTGGGTTACAGTTTTAATATTTTTCATTAATACACAACAAATTTGCCACTTTTCTTAAGTTTTAAGAATAAAATCAAAATATGTGAAAGCGCAAGGATGTGTCAATCTAACGCGTCCAGAAATTCGAAGTTTTAATAACTTCGAGATGAAATAAGATTGTTATTATATTTTAGTTTGAAATGCTATAGCAACATATAAGTCATGAAATTATACAGAAAATATGAGAAAATATTAACTTCAAATCTGTGTCCAAGCACCTTTAAACAATCAAAGTAAGTGTATGTAATGATGTACAAGGGAGCCAAAATTTTGAACTTCATGGCTCCTGGGTTAGGGGTTCTAGTGTTAGGTTGATGCTCTCTTGATAATATAGTAAAACTCCATAAATTCTCTTTATAAACTCATATCTGTCCAGAAGAGGCATTGTTAACTCGTATTGATTACTTATCAATAACATGAATAATTAATCAAAAATTTATGAAATTATTGATTACTTTTTTATTAAAAAAAACCCACAAAAACAACTGTTAGCACTTATTTCACGCTGAATATTTAACGGACTACTCCCTTTAATGATCAGAAAAAGGGCTCACGGCGGAAATGACCTATCAACAGGGGATGCTTTCTCTTTCATGGTACATGATCTCACATCTGTAGTGTCAGAGATTTGTATTTGTTGTGCTCTTAATATGTAGTTTTTAATTGGGCTTTTGAGCGTTGTTATTTTAGGTTTTCATTACATTTCTTTGAAACGACCATACTTAACTATGTAAATAATTTTTTTTACATTAAATCGTCGTATGAAAGGTTGATGAAGAGATTAACGAATAGGTTAATACATTGTAAATAAAATGAAGCTATAGCTGTTAAAAAAAAGAGAGCAGAGTTAAAAAAAAAAAAAAAAAAGTGAAAAAAAAACAACAATGAATATCTGACATGACTTTATCATTACAGTACATAATTCACATTACCAAAACATGAAGATTAAATCAATATCTCAAAAATATAATAATTCTATTAGTTTTAAGTAAAGAAGAGTCTTTACATATAACATTTGAAAGTGGTTTCTTATTATCTGAAGGTAAATCTCTTTCGAATTTCAGTTTCCAAGTAGACGGCAGCTGCCTCCTCCTCCACCTCCTGAAGACCTATGTATTTCTGTAGGTAGTGTTTAGGTGGATCAAGAAAATTTTTATAAAGTTAAATAAATATTTTTTAAAAATGCATTTCTTTCTTCTATGTTTTGTACGATATGCATGAATGAAAAAAAAAAACTTCTGAGCGATCCCTGATGAAATAATTTTATATTTTTTAAAAGAGGAAACCAGAGGTTCCTGATCAACCATCCAAACTGCTATCTCAGGTAAAGAAGGAGACATTGCTTTATCTGCAAGACAATTCATAAGAGCTTGTAACCTTGTATGCAAACTGCTAAATTAAGAATGATTTCCTGATTTACTAACATATTCCAAATGACCAAAACCTATGTGTACTTGAAATGCGAAGACTATTTGCTTTTAGGTCGCCTTAGTCATTCAGGTGACGTTTTGCTTTTTGTTTTTTCTGTCGTCATGTATTGTTTGTCAGTTGTTTACATGAAATAAGAAGATAACGAACATACATTTGATCCTATTAGCTTCTTCACTGGAACAGCTTATTTTTTTTTTATTATTCTTAATAAATAGCATCTATGAGTAAAGATTAAGAAAAGTTGTAAATTTCCTTATCCTTATCTCCCGGGGCCTGGGGGATGTGACAAAAACCAAAAGAATTAGTGTAATCTTTTTTAAAAAAATGTTACTCGAAGATAAAAAAAAATTTGCAATTTCATGATTTAAGCCTCCCAGGGATTACATGTAGAGGGATATGCCGATGTCAATTAAAATTAATGCAATCTTCGAAATAATATTTAGTTGACATGCAAGACTCAAAGTGTTACAAAAGTAAAAAGCAATACATCTTTTATCAAAAGAATGAAATTAATGACTTTCTCTTTTTTTAATAACTTCCTTGATTTTACTTGGCATAAAGATAAGAGACAATAAGAATAAATATATAAAAACTTGTTTTTCTCGATTAAACATTTATATTTTCTTATTATAGGCTCTTAAACCCTTGCAGAAATAAATTTGAATAGTGGAAAAATAAAATGGAATACATTACAATATTTCAATAAATCTCAATAATGTACAACAAAATAATTTGATGAATACATTTATTATTTCAGTACATGGTTTACATTTTAAATTCGTTAAAATGAAATCAGTATTTCAGACAAAATTTTATTAATATGAATTTAAAGAGGGGGCTTTGCTTGTTACATATAATGGATCTTAATGTTAGATTTGTGTGTAGCACTGCATTTATTTGTATTTATTGATTCTTTGACACGATCAATAAGTCTCTCAATTAGACAGTCACTATAAATGGGCTAGAATGACACTCTTATTCCTTTTTAAGTTCCATAAAGTACTTTTCTTATGAAAAGAATAGACCACCTGGAAATATGTGGTTTCTTTCTAACACAAATTCTTTAAGGACTAATGACCCTCTGCTCCAAATTTCACGACAAATTTTTAAACTTCCCAGCATTGATTTTGATCAAGAGCTATAGCATCAAAATCAAATGAAAAATAGTATAAGGTATGGAGCGCTGCTTATTTTTTCAGAAATGATTTTTATTTCAGATCATAATATGAAAAAAAATTAACACAGAGATTAGGAAGTGTAATAATTTATTATCACAACATAAAATTAGAAATAAGCAGTGTATATGAAAATAATATTTAGTGTCATACCTACTAAATTCATATTAGAAATTATAATGAAGCGCTGCTTCCTAAGTCAGAATATCACAATGTTATATGTGGTTGTAAGAAAACAATACATATATTAACAAGAGTTATCTTTCTTATAAATATTTTTTCATTGGAAAAAAATGTAATACTAATAAAAATTCTAAATTTGGCGCTTGATACATTAAACCATTTTTAAAATGATCGTTAAAAAGATAGAACTTATTCAATTTTTAAGGGTTTTAAAACTGGATTTGAATGTTTTTTAAAATAAAAAAACAATTTGAAAAGTACAGTCAAAGGAAATATAAGGTAATGTTTCCAACATATGCTAAGTTTGATCAATTGACTGCTCCCAGGTCTTGATAATTAAACTCTGATAAAGTAAACTGTGAGTAATACTAGGATATTTTACTTGGAAAGTTATCTCTCTTATCAGAGGGTCGGTCCCCCTTAATTACGTATTTTATCAATTGTAAAGCCCAAAGAAAAGGGAATTTCATATTTTACTTACATGATATTTTTTGTTAGATCTGAGATCTTTCGAAGATAGTCATTACTGCATATTGATTTTGTACGCTTACAAACACCAAGTTAAATATGATTTATAACGGTGTAAAATGTTTATTTTTCAGCAAGAAAATTATGATGAATTAGAAGTCATATTTTCACAAGTTTGTTTCTATATTTGACAGGAATATCAAAGTAAAAGAAAAACCACTATTCTCAACTTGGGTTTTTTCAATTTTCTATGCTTATTTGATTAGAGTTTGTTGAATTTGATTTATTTTACGTTACATATATATATAAGAATTATCCAACCTAGAAAATAATGAGACATTAATTAAAAGGAATATTAAGAAATGTTTATATTCCAAAGTCCCTGTGTAGCTGGATTTGTTTCTTTTTAGAAAGCAAATAAAATTACATACATGTTGAACTTCTTTTGTACCAGATCGAATTTGTATACTCAGCTATGTTAAGGCTTCGCGATGCTTTAAAATGCGTTCAAAACTTAATATGTCATTGCGAAGTCGGTTTTGGTTTTAATTTATAAGTATTGAACATTGGTACTTTCAATTTATATAAAGGGTTTTCTCGGCTATATATTAGCATATTTGTTATGATATCACATGACTTTGTTGATCACCTGACGGTCATTTATAATTTTTTGAAGTGTTACATATAAATCGCTTCGGCGCAGCTGATTAACACAATAATTATTATCATTTTGTTATATAAATAAACTCATCGTATCCTTGTGCATCCGAAATGTGCTTGGGAAAAGTCATAGTATTACATGGGTACAAAATATTTCCTGAGAAATTCAACTTACCTACAGATTTGAGGGTATTTTCCACACAATATCGTAATGTGTATTAAAACAAAGCCAACACACATTTTTCCCAAGCAAGATTCAGTTAGAGAACAACCTCTTCTTACAGATTTCCACAAAAATTCTCAGATTAATCCTCATTAATCATCTGCGCCAGACTCTTTTATACACACAAAATAAATTCTACCTCCAACCACGGGTGTAAAACAGAGTACATTTCAAAAGTATATTTTTCATAAGCATTTTGAAAATGATGAATTTCAATCAAGGGTAGGTAAGCGGTGTATTTTTAAAATATTCGGACATATAAGACTTAAAAAACCTTTAAGGACCCGTGAATTTTGCAATAGCTATCTAGCATTTTACATGCAGTTTGAAATAAAGTGTAAAGTTCATGACACTCTCCCCGTAATAACACCTCAGGTTTGCAGTGACCTGACGGCATTTTCCATTATGACGTCATATTTTGGTAGTTTTGGTAGAGATGTGAAGGCACAGAGTGCACTGTCATATTCTACGGGAAGCCTTAACCTACCTGCGTAGTGTCAATATGTTGAATTTGTTTTGAATGGAGTACCTTTTAACCAGGATTACACGTCAATATATAATTTGCTTTGCATGCAGATACTTATGACAAACCTTTTGAACAACCCTTATCCCAAAGACCACCACCTACCCTAAATCACACAAAATAGCTTTTTTAGGTTTGAGCAAGTTGTTACGGCTATTTTTTGGTTCATTTGAATTCATTTAGAATCTGGTATTTATGAAGAATATGTATTGAATTAAGACCCTCATAATGGAATGTTGAGTTTCAGAATATTTATAATGCAATTGTTTTGTATCAGGATACTTGCGATGAATTTGAGACAAGTGGGACAGAGGAAGTGTTTGATGATTTGGAAGATGATGGGAATCAACTTTCAGCCCCTCCGACGGCACCTTCTCCTAAACCAGTAATATATGTCATATACATATGACTTCAAAATATTTTTCTCCATTCTAGGATTTTTTCGATCACATTCTAACGAGTTATATTAGTAAGTTTGCTCTACGTTGAAAACAAAAATTGTAGCTATACAAAGTACTTATAGCTGAAATCACAACTGAGAAAAAGGGTCATGATCGAAAACAGGAAACTCTAGTAGGTAAATAATGGAAAAATGTAGCTCAACTTAAGCAAACACAACATTTTTAACAACAATAATATGATAATTTAAGTACATCATTTGCATTATAAAACCGAATAAAAGCAAATAAAAACAGCATCCCAAAGATATAATAACCCTCTTAAAGTGTTTAGATGCAGAACTTTATGCAGAGCGAAAAATGAAATGAGTGAAAAGGCATTTCCGGTGGAGGAATGCATCGATTTGATGCATATTCCTCCACCAATCACATCCGAGGTTTGTATGAAGCGTAGCGGAGTCAGCCGAAGATTGCCATTTGGAGAGATTGTGTTTTACCATTACCAGGTGTGCCGAGTTGTGTTTTATTATTCTACGCGTTTTTTTTTTTTTTCAGTTCCGGTAATTGTAATTCGAAAGTTTGAACAAAAAAAAAAAATAATTATTTCGGAATATATAATTACATACTAAAAACCGGTATTTTGTCCCCGTATCACGATAAATATAGCACAATAAAAAATCACGATATACCGGTATACTGATAAAATCGAGCATTCAATAAGACTCTCATTGAGACAGTCACTTTAAATGGGCTAGAATGACACTCTCATTCCTTTTTTACGTTCCATCTCTATTTTCAGTTTACACGTGGACGGCAAGAACCTCTCCCTCTTCAGGAAACATTTGAAATTCAAGATGAATTGGAGGTAACTAAGGAGAAAATAAATAAATATTTAAAAAAAAAACAAATGCATTTAAAATATATTTACGGGTAAATGTGACCCATTAAGTACTTTTCATATAAAGACGAATGGGACACCTAGAAATATGTGGTTTCTTTCTAACATAAATTCTGTACTTTGATATTTCATCAATTGTAAAGCCCAAAGAAAAGGGAATTTCAGATTTTTACTAAAATGACATTTCATGCCAGATCTGAGGTCCTAAGAAGATAGTCATTATTGCATATTGATTTTGTACTTTTACAAGCACCAAGTTAAATATGATTTATGACAGTGTATAATGTTTATTTTTCAGCAAGAAAATTATGATGAATTTGATGTCATGTTTTCACAGGTTTGTGTCTATATTTGACAAGAACATCAAAATGAAAGAAAAACCACTGTTTTCAACTTGGTTTTTCCCCTTTTCTTTGCTTATTTGACACGATTTTGTTGAATTTGATCTATTTTACGGTACATGTATATACAAAATTAGCCAAACTAGAAGATAATGAGACATTATTAAAAAGGAACATTATGTTTGATAAAAAATATTCTCAAGTTTGTGTGTAGCTGGATTTGTTTCTTTTTAGAAAGCAAATAAAAAATTACACACATATTGTATTTCTTTTTTACCAGAGCGAATTTGCACTAAGGATTTGATACTACATATTAATATGCTGAATTTGTTTTGAATGGGAAAACATATTCTGAATACCTTTTAACCAGGCTTACACTTTAATATAAAAGTACTTTGCATGCAGATACTTATGTCAAACCTTTTGCATATAGATTCATCACATTAGGAATTTATTTTGTTTCAGTGTATATTTAATGAATTAAATGGTTTTCACTTTACTTTGGATTCGGGAATCTGGAAATGGGGGGTGGGGGTTCCGGACATTTTTCAGTTAATAAATTTCTATGTCAAAGTGAGGAAAAATGACCTAGTAATCCCTATCCCCCAATCACCCCAGCCATCCTACTCCACAGGAAAAAGCTTTTTTTTCAGATTTAAAAAAGTTATTTACGGCTATTGTTGGTTCATTTGAAATCATTTAGAATCTGATGTTTACGAGGAATATGTTTTAAAGAACTACGTACGCTTACTCTCGATTCCCGCCTACATTTTAATTCAATACTAATGGCAATTTGGCAGTTAATTTTTGTTGAATGCAAAGAACAGTTCAATGGTAAGTGACTGATAATTTTTATACCAGTGATAAACAGCTGATTATCCCTAATTCCAGTTCTTTAAATAACGGGGTAGATGATATTTTCCATTGAAATTGGGCTTTAAAGCATCACTACATTGTAAAATATTCTTGGATATGAATAAATGTTCCTTAAATCTTTTCTTGTGTTTTAAGCATATAAAAATAAACATATATTATTAATAAAATACAATGTTTTTATTCTAAACCCCTTTAAAATTGGTGAAAAATAAGCATTTTTGTAGGTTTTATTGCCTGCAAACATATGCCCCCCCCCCCCCCCCAGTGAAACACAAAAAGCTTTGGCATAAATTTGTGAAATTACAGTCCATATTACCTGTGAAAAAGATTTTTTGTTTCACGGGGAGGAAAGATGTTTTAAAAATTTTCTCCGTTTTCCGTTGATTTCTTAAGTGAAAAACACAAGTTTTACGAAACTTGTCGAGTTATCTCTCTTTGTTTTCCCAAAGAAATAATGTTTTGTGAAAACTCATATAAATATCTTTATGAAAAATCATTTAAATATGTTAACTTTTGAAAATTGACTTGGAGGTAGGCGGGAGAACAGTACTATCGTTCGCAGTTCTTAAGATCCTTATAATGAATTGTTGAGTTCCAGAATACTGATAGTGCATTTGTTTTGTAGCAGGATACTTACGATGAACTTGAGGCAAGTGAGACACAGGAAGTGTATGATGATTTGGAAGATGATGGGAATCAACCCTCAGCCCCTTACCCAGCACCTTCTCCTAAACCAGTAATATATGTCGTATACATATGATTTCAAAATATTTTTCTCCCTTTTAGATTTTTTTCGATCACATTCTAACGAGTTATTTTTGTAAGTTTGCTCTACGTTGAAAAAACAAAAATCGTGGCTATACAGAGTATTTATAGCTGAAAACACAACTGAGAAAAAGGTCATGATCGAAAATAGGAAACTCTAATAGGTAAATAATGGAGAAAATGTAGCTCAGCTAAAGGAAACACAACATTTTTAACAACAATAATATGATTTAAGTATATCATTTGCATTGTAAAACCGAATAAAAGCAAATAAAAATAGCATCCAAAAGATATAATAACTCTATTCCCGTGTTTACATGTGCATACAACATTTAATGGAAATTAACGTTTTAGCATTATTTTTGTTAATAATCTGTAATTCATCGAACTTTCATATTGCTCAGTAAGACGCTAGAATAAACAGTCACGCTTAATGGGGCTAGAGTAGTATTCGTCATGAGTAAACTTCCCCATCTGATCGTCAGTCTATCTCATTTTTCAGCTTTCGGGTGGATCTCGAGTAGTTTCCTTAGTAAAGACGTTCATGAAAATTCAAATTAAAGATTTCTCTTAAATCAAACAATTCTTCAAATATCAAACTAAAAGAGAAATCGTTGTTTTCTTATAGTTTTTTTTTCATAACTGTGAGGATATAAATACATTTTGTGGACTTAGATCTTATTAACGAAATAGTTGATCTTCTATCAGTATGGATTGTAAGAGAAATAAAAAATTCTAGATTATTATTTCATTGTCCTTTAAGAAATGGATCAGAAAAAAAGTGCAAATTATTATAATTTAAAGCGAGATATATATTCTTATTTTTTACTATGATTTTATTTATAAACTTGTTATTGATGTCAGCCAGTTTTAATTCAAGTGCATAGAGAAAGACCACGATTGTTAATTAATCTATCATTCTTTAAATAATTTCTGAAAGATTGAGAGCTAAGTTTTATTAAGGACAACTGTGAACAACTATTTCACGTTTTGATATTGTACTTTTTTTCTTCCTTTCAAGTAATTAGATACAAAAAAACAGTATATATACTGATGTACATGTAAGTTGTATGTTTAAAACAAGTTATTGTCATAACTATGCTGCCAAAGCATTAGTCTTAAACTAAATGTATTTTATTTTTCCATTATTAGTTTTCATATTCACATGACCCAACCCCACCAAACCTTCAGCATAGCCCTTGCTGACCAGTCAGTTTTCTGTTTTTGTCAATATTGAGATTAATGTTATAGAAGGGGAAGGAGGTAATCTGGAAGTATTCTATGATGTTAATTACAGTATCCCTTCTCTAGTGCTTACATGTGTATTTGTATTATTCATTTCATTTGCTTTTCCTTTATCATTTACCAAAATAAGATGACTTAAGTAAAATTTGAAGTCTTTTGGTCTTTTAAAAATGAATGGGTTTTTTTCAGTCTATTGTACCACTGAACAACCAACCCCAAAAGTCTGGAGTACCGTTATTAGGTTTCCCATGTAAAACACTACCACCGCTTCCTCAAATGTCAAGGCAAATGATCAGAGCATCTCCTCGTGTAGGAGGACAACAACCTTCATCAGAGAAAAATCAAATGATTGAAGATCCCCAAAAAAGAGCCTCAGTTTCCCCATCACCTCCCCCGCTCCTTACTAGAATGTCGCAAGCTTCAATATGCAGAAGACGACCACCTCCCCCTCCATCTCCTATTCAAATAACACGAGCAACACCATCTAAAGATGCATCAATCCCTTCAGCACCCCCTTTGAAAGTTAGCATTGAAGCACCTCCAAAACATGCTTTTGTCGAACATAAATTTGATAAACTCTCAGAGGAAGAAAGCAATGAACCACCAGCTATACCTCCAAGAAGACGCGAACTAAAGGCAAGAGGGAGCATTTTACATGCACCGCAACCTTCACTTCCACCTCCAAGGAGAGAAAGACTAACAATTAAGGACACTGTACCCCCACCTTCACCTCCAGCTCCAAGGAGAAAAGGTATTCTGTCTTCCTATAATTCCCAGCAGTTGTCATAGAAAGGTTTTAGGTCGACTCATCTTATTTCCCTTAATTTCGATCAGGTAATAATGTTAGAAACTGTTTGATAAAAAGAAGATGCGAAAAAAATATATGTAATTTAGCGACATTTTTTTTCATTTTAGAAGATGACCAGTTGCTTACTGTATGGAAAAATCAAATATCTGTGTTAATTTACGAAAATGACTCCTAATGATAATCTGGAATTTTTAATTTTTACAATCTCCTTGCCGCTGTTACTTATGTCTAACTTAAATGGGATTATTACAAAGGCGACTTTGACGTAAAATCGTTGGATTACGGTTCAAATATTGATAATTATAAAATGTATGTTTGTTTGTATGTTTAACGTCCATTCGAGAATTTTTCACTCATATTGAGACGCCACCAGTTTCCGGTAGAGGGTCTCAAATTTAGATTTGTACTCGGCACTTACGGTCTTTGAGTGAGGAGTTTTTTTTCGTACCAGCACCTACTGCAACACGGGACATCGGTTTAGAAGGTCTCATCCGAAGGATCGGTCTCAAAGTCTAGCAGTGGGATTCGATTAGATGATTATAATATGAAACATGATAAGAAATAGATAGAAATGTAACATGAATAGATAAGATACATATATCAGTGAAGTAAAAATACTCTAAAAACAAAGTTATATATCAAACCCTTTTAAATTCTTTTGCACTTTTATATGTATTGAATGTTGCATTTCATTTTCAAGTCAAATTTCTATCGACTAATAGCGAGCGCAGTGTTTCACTGCGAGTTCTTACGACAACACCTGGGAGAAGGGGAAAGTAGGACTATGTACATTGATTTTCTGTAGTAACGTCTGGACCCTCAATCCTTTGCGAATTGCATCTCGCTGCAAAATTCATTTGCAGTAACGTTAAAAAAGATTGCATATATATGGTACATAAAACGTTCTTTGTTAAAAGATTGCACATTTCAGACTTCCATATGGGAATGCAATTAGCACACAATGTCATGTAATGTCATAATCTAGACCTTCCAAATTACTCGTGTAGTTTGAAGAGGTGGATTTAAGTCAAACGTGAACAAGCAAATGCGCTCTCCCGAACGGTAGCACATACAACATATCATCAATCTATATTCTTTTTGTATTTATTTGCAAATTTAAAGAGGCTACTTTAATCAAGCATTAATCACAACATTCCTACGTAAACATACAAATAAAGAATGATGAGCACATTTATATAGCTATCCACAAACATTTTTTTATCGTCCATTGATATTTAGAAAACGATCCATTCAGTAGCCGATGTGATGCATTGTTACACTATTGTTAAATTCTTAATATGTTTCTGAGTAAAATATTTTTATTGGCTCATTGAATAACCATTAAATATGTAACTGAGTGAATAAAATCAAGGATCCAGGAATTGTTCCTTGGGAAGGGACTAAAAAGAGATTAAAAAAACAAGACCAAAAGAAAAACAATAAAACAAACAACAAACAAAAGCAAACAAAAAACAACAATGCCTGAACCACCAAAAAAAAATTTTGTGGACAAAAGTTTTCTGTTCTCGTGAACATTCTGCTTTCCTATATGTTAGGAGGGGCTTTGTGTTGTTTTTACGGGGAGGGGGGAGAGGGGGGTCATTGTGCTTCGCACTCGTAAAAATATCAATAAATTTTGTCCCACTCGTGAAATAAACTCCATATCCAGCTATAAAAAAAAAAAACATAGAATTTCTATTTATTCAATGAATAATTAAATTACATATTAGATATTTGACGTGAGGTTCTCTGACTGATACATTCCTATTCTCTTTTAGATCATTGTGAAGATTTCATTCTTTGGTGACTAGCAGATACGCAGCTATGTTAAGGCTGTCTGAAGGCTTAATATGCATAAGATTTATACTATTTTATTTTGAGCTATGTTTTGATTTCAATTTGTTATCTATGTATACATACACAGTTAAGTTGTAAAATGAGTTGAATAAGGTATTATGAAAAAGCATTTTTATGATGTCACATGACTGTGTTGATCACGTGACGGACACTTATAAATTTTCTTAAATGTTGCCAAAAAAGCGCATCGGCACAAGTGAAAAACAAAATTATTGTGAACGGCTTTTTACATAAATCAATTAAACGTATTCTTGGGTATATATAAAGTGCTGGGGGCAAGTCTGAATTTTATTTCTTAAGAAAATATTTCACGAGAAATTCAACTTACCCACACACAAGGGGTCATTTTCCACACTTCATCGCAATTTACACAAAATGGGACAAATAACATACAATCCCCAAGCAAAATTCAGTTAGAGGACATATTTCTCTAGTAGATTCACACAGAATATCTTCAATTAATCCTTTTTATTCACTTGTGTCAGTCTTATATATATAAGATTTTAGAATTCTAACTCTGTCTACGGACGTGTAAGGGGCGCATTTCACATTCTTTTCTGTAATTATTTGAATACGTACACGTTAGACAAGAAAAAGGAATAAAGATATTATACTGCTAATATTCACCATCAAAACAGCCTTAAAACAACGATCCAGACACATGAATTAAACATCAACGTAAAAAAAATTCTACATGTGATGTGAAAGGAATGTAAAAGTTATGACACTTTCCCCTTCAAGTCTGCTCAAATTTGCAGTGACTTGACGTCATATGCCGTTATGACGTCATATCTAGGTAGTTCAGAGAAGCTGATACACTGTGATATTCTTCGGACAGCCTTATCCTAGTCGCGTAAAACTGTAAAGCATATAAACTTCACATTACATTTTGCAATAACAACATTTTTCAAATCAATTGATGAAAGGGGGGGGGGAGAACAAAATGTCATCGCCTAAAAAAATTTCTGACACATTATTTAAGTATGCGAACCCCAAACTCAACAACACACCTTCAAAGCCAAAAAAATACGTAAGAAAGCCCTCCATACTGATTCTTCTTTTTCCTTAGGCTTGGAGGCCGGGTTGCTGCTAAAGGAAGAGCCTCTGCAAGAACTACTTATTGATGATACTTGTACAAAAAGGGCGCCGGAAAGAAAAATACAAAGAGAAATGGTGAGATATTTTCGCTGGCATTAAACCTGAAAAATATTGCAATTGCCTTGCATCATTATGTCTCTGAAACTACCTTTTATCCATTTTGGCTCTCCAAAGCTTCAAATCTTAGTGAACTACAATCAGCTATGAGTAATATCTACGTCAGACATCACTACATTAAATCAAGATAGGAGAGGACCAGTAAGTCAATTACAGAATATTTGTGTAAAATGAATGATTAGTTGAAATGAACATATAAATAATGTAAATTAGGTTTAAAATTCACAGGGATCGGATCTGACACTTTCATCTATGCATAGTTTTCATGAAGTACAAATGCACTTCATGAGGAATACCTGTGTAAAAAAGAATGAGGACATTCCTAACAAAAATACTCTGTAGTTTAATATAGCTTTTTATTTTATGAAAGCTTTTACCATAGTAAATCAAAGCTTTACTTTAGGATATGAAATTATTTTTAATAAGTATAACATATGTCATATTTTGTGTTCCCAATTCATACATGCTCCTTTTTTATGTTAAATTGAAATATTACTTACATATTCACATGTCATTTTCAAATTTTACATCATTGTTATTGAATTAAAGAGATTCAAAGATTCAAAATCCCCAAAAAGTAGAGAAAGTTTTGATAGTAAATCAAAGTATCAAAGTATTTACTATAGTTTATAATAGTTAACATATTACATTTTTGTAATGGATACCTTAATTAGCTTATATATTTCTTAAATGAATGCGCTTTTTATCAGCAGACGAATAAAGAAAGCAAACTTTTGAAAATAAAAACAATTGTTGATGAATTGGCACAGAAAGGAATATTCCAAAGGCTCCAAAATATACGAACATTCATTGTATTTTATGCTCATAATTCTAATATTTCGTCTTTTGAATGGAGGAAAAATTCTTGTGTATATAATGTAAATGTTCCAAGTTAACCTACAAAAAAGAAATTTAAAATCCTTACTAGTTAAATAAATATTGATGAAGTTAAAAAAAACTGTGGGTTTTCTTTTATTTTTGCAGCTACAGTGCAGGAAACTAATTTTGTTACAGCATCGATTCTGATTTGAATGCTTCCTTTGCTTGCTGATTTGAATGCTTCCTTTGCTTGCTGATTTAATGCTAGTAATCCTTATCCTGATGCTGTTTTATAATTAGGTCAATGCTACCGGAAGCAGCATCATGCTACCGGAAGTAGATAATGAACTTCAGCATTGCCGTTTAAAGCAATGAAGTGCCTTTTACAATTATTTGATCATAATATCTCACTATGTATCAATAATGTAAATACTTTAACCAATATTCTTTCTTTCTTTTTTAATTTTTTACTGAATTAAAACTCATTGATTTTCTGATGCTAGTAGGATAATGCTGGTTTTATGTAGGTCAGTGCTGGTTTTATCCTATGCTTGCTGATGCTGATCCTGGTAATGCTGTTTTTTAAATGCTGATCCTGATGCTAGCTCGATCCTGATGCTACTAATGCTTATGCTGATGCTGGTTTATGTAACAAAATTAGTTCCCTGCACTGTATATACTATAAATCCATTCATGAAATATCATTTGGTGTTTTTTTTTTCAGAATAAGCCACGATCGCCGTTGGACGTAACACCTCTTCATATAGGGCTGGAGGATGCCGAGGGAAATCTCTGTGTAATTATTGCAAGGGACAGCAAAATTCCATGTGAAAATAAACAGGTTTGGTTCTTTTAAATAAGATTTTATGTAATGAAGTTTCATAAAAAGAGTCGCAAACATTACTGACGCATTATTCTTTTTAAAAGTGTAATAAACTTAATCTACAATGTAAATTTTAACTTGAGGGCATTTTGAGAATGCTGTTCTAGGCCAATTATAGAAATGAATTTATAAAGTTATCTTTATGTATACATTACATGTATATTATTCGTGCTGGCCTTTGTTGGCTTTTTTTGTAAACAACATCTACATCTCTGGTCTCATTCTCATGCACAGATATTTTTTTTTAAATCTTGGTGCAAACTGTTGATAATATCGAAAATATATCAAAACAGGTTGGTGAAGGCAGAAGAAAAAAAAAATTCGTCTTTTGCATTTTAGTTTACCTGAGCTGAAAGCTCATGTGAACTTTTCTGATCACATTCTGTACGTCTGTTTCTCTCCGTCTGTCTAAAAAGTTTTCATATTTTTTTTTTTTTACTTCTTCTCCAGAACCACATGCAACAAGGCATTGTCAGCAATCGGCGACCAAAGTTTTACATGAAATATGGCGAAAACAATGGTCATTCTCAAAAATCTATTTAAACAATGCAAATTATGAGCATAGCCAACATGAACCTCTGAAAATAGAGGTTGGATGGGGTGTCATGAGAAGTAAGCATTTCATGCCAACCGGTCCTACCCTCCTGTGCTCCTTTTTGTTCCTATGTATCAATTCAACTGGGAGACAAACTATATAGGCAGATGATAATGGCATATTTCTACATAAATAAGAAATGTTAACGATAGAAAATTTGAAGTTATCACATTTATCATAAAGATTAGTTGTCAGTTTGCCACAAATGTCTGTCTTAAGTTAAACACCCAAATATAAAGCTGTTGTGTCAGACGCTGATCTTTTACTTCGAATTCAATGGGATATACAGAGGAATACAAAGAAAAAATATTAAAAAAATCTTCTCAAGAAAATCAAGGCAATGATTAGTAGTATTTAAATGGAAGCATCCACAGGTTATGTAAATTAAATTTTGTCCAATTCATTATCCCTGTTTGTTGGTTTGGGTCATAATACTGGTAAGTCATCAAAGAACATAGGAAAAATATAGGAAATTTCCTGCTGGAGAGCAAATATGCCCTATTGATTCAGGCGAGTGATGTAACCCATGAGTCTCTTGTTATTTAACGTTATATAACAACCAAAATCAAGGGACATATTTTGACAATAAATCCAAATGATTTGAATAAAATGAAGCATTAGGCGCTACAGACCCTGTGAGAAATGAAGAGGGAGAGTAATTTTGAGTAACTTTCCCGACGTTTTTTTTTTTTTTTTTTTTTTTTTTTTTTTTTTTTTTTGACGTACCATTTTGTTACGAGTGTTGATAAACATGTTGATTTAAAATTCCATTTAATCCAGTGGAATGAAAACTTCACACAATGGCAAAAAAAATTTTACTTTTCAAAATGTATTGCTCTTAAATGTTGTAAAAATAATATGATGAAGAGCTATATTGTCTACAAATTTTGTAATGACCCCCGTATATATCTCTGATGTTTTAGAAGTTCACTTGTATTGATGACAAACAGAACAGCGTAGATGTCAATGTTTATAAAGGATGTTTAAAGGAAGCCAGACGAAACCACTTCTTAGGACAAATTCAAGTTGTATGTAAATTTTTGCATACTATTAACATTTAATTGCGGTACTGGTTTTAATTGAAATGATTTCTTGATGTGTGTGACCATTTACTAAATGTATCTTAAATACTTTTATCATTTGTTTGTCTTCTGAAATATTTTAGTTCTAATTTTGATTTAGGAATATTGGTTAAATTATTAAGATTGACAAGGAAGAATATGGATCCAGCATAATTATATGTTTTCTACTTCATAGAGAAATATTTTGCCTTCCTCTCGTGGAAAGGATTGGATAGAAGTTACCATTGCCATTAATATCGACGGAATAATAACTGTCATAGTATATTTTGACCCAGGTGTTAAGGGACTTCACTTTTATTTCTGTAAGTACAATACATATCCCAATACAAGGCTCAATACAACATGTAACATCCAATTCTCCAGTAACAGTATTTTTTTTTTCACGGACAGACTGCTACATGCAGAGTCCGATTGGAAAAGGATTTTCTTTGAAGGAAACGATTTTTTAAATGAAAAACTAAAACTGTTATTACCATTTTATTGACAATTTAAAATTGAACGCAGTGCGTTAATAGTTAAGTAAGATCCAAAAAGTTATGTTGTATTTTTATACCGACCATCCAACTTCACCAGAGAGAAGTTCACTATGTGCCTTTCTTTCGATTGAATTTTAGGCATTACGTTTTGGGTAAGAAACTTGAAAATGCTTATAAATTTGTGTTGGCATAAGACTATTTGCCTTGTCAACCATGTCTCGCTGATAGAGTAGATCGTGTATTTTCTGAAATTTTTGTAAAGTATTTATTTTTCAAAAAGACTTTAAAATTTATTATGAGGAAATGCATAATTATGAGAAAAGACACTGAATCCATTCAGAATGTATGATGAAGCTAAAGAGGAAAAGATTAGAAAAAATTCGTTTTTTCTATATTCAACACAATTGACAACTTCTCAATGTATAAAGTTGAGCTGTTTTAATGCACAATAGTAGAAATACTAAAAAAAATTATTCTTAAGGACCAGAGCTTTGTTTTGCGTATTAATTACAAGACAAACCTGAAACACACAGATGAATATAGTATCATTACAAAGTGTGGGCATTAACTGGTCATGAGATGTGGTCACATTTAATAACCTGTGACCTTGGGAAAACTTAGAAAAAATAGATTTTTTTCTGCATGTTCATGTTATAGAGAAATATCGATCGCAAATGTTTGCTATTTTCTCATGATCATCAAAACAAGTTAGTAACATTTATTTTGAGAAATCTAACAAAATTGAGTGTCAATATTATAGATTTATTGCATGATAATAATTGAGATATAAAGATTAATCAGCCGAGAAAATAATTTCCTGAGTGCAAAGCCCGAGGAAAATGAAAATTTCCTTGGCTTATAAATCTTCAGATCTCAAAAATAAGTACAAAAATGATAATTATAACGAAATAATCCAAGAATAGACATTAACATTCCAATTCAGTGCACCTCAAATATTCACTTTCAATTTGAAAGTTCGTTAAACACCTTACCGCAGAATTTTGTCTTTGGGGATTTTTTACTCACTGAGAACTGTGAACCTGCAAGCGGCAGAATGCGACTGGTAGTCTTGGGGAAAAAGATATTCCAGACAGAAAAACATGATGGGGTTTCTAAAGGAGTGGGATAAGTTATTTATTTCCAAGACATACGACCCTTTATTCTCGTTGTCAAGTGAATGTCTAGACCAATTGCAATCAAATAGTGCGTTTTATAAAATTATCAAAATAATGTAGAAGGTGAAGAAAACGAACAGTGACCAACCTCATAAATCCAGTAAACAAATCTAATCGTGAACAGGTCAAAAACACAACCTATGGAAACACCAGAGGTGGGATCAGGTGCCTAGGAGGAGTAAGTATCCCATGTTGAGCGGTTAAACCCGCCTTATGTATTGATCAGATATACGTTGAAGTCGGAAGTCAAATTTAGTATTTAAAAAGATATTTGTCTCTATAATCATATATCTAAATTCTTAGAAATATAAATTATATACATTTTTCAAATTGATGTTACGAAGACAATAATTCTCTAAAATGTTTTAGTCTTAGTCATAAGTTCTTTTGTAAAACGGGGCCCTGGTTTCCAAGACTACATAGATATTGTTAATGAGGAACTCCAGCATTTTTTAAAATAATTTAATATCAACTTCAGAGTACTATAGACGTACTTTTTTCCTCGTGGGATTAATTAACGCTATGTACGCGGTCTCATATATTTTCTGCGAAATTTTGTCACAGCTTACTTGAATTGCATTTAAGGCATACAAAGGCAATCAAAGAAATTCGCGTACTCACAGATATTGTGATTTCGCGGAATTTTGACCCGTGGAAAAAGTATGTAGAATCAGATTGATTTTTTACAAAGTAAATTTATAGATGACCAGTCACAAGATTTATGACTTTATGATATTTTTGACTTCCATGGTTGTATAAAACGTAGAAAAGTCATTTGTTTTGATGCTATTGATGTTTAAATAGTTTTGGTATTTTAATTTCCTCAAACGTTCTTTTTTAAATTTTTTTAGAATCGACATTTGATTTACACCACTTTTTGAAATGTTGTAGCACAATAAGTCTGTAATTTCTCCTTCAGTTAATATTTTGGTGAAGAATAAGGATAGAGACTTGGTGGAAATTTACTGGACCCTGCACTATATCTTTGTTTATAATGATTCTTATGAAGTTTTTGAATCCAGCATAGGTGCTGTAAATGAAATTTACTTGTTAAAATGTTAAAATTTTTAAAACTGAAGGCGATTTTGAAGAATTTCATCTTTTTAAAAGGAGACTCTGAGTTTAGGTGTGATTATCAGATGTCGAATTAAAACAGAGTTCTTCTAAGATGCAGCTTTCCAAAAAAGACTATATTGTTACAAGTTTATCAGTTGACAAAACATATTTTTATGGAACCCTCCTAATTCTTTTATCACTTCTACTGAAAACGGAAGGATAGACAGTTTGCATTTTGTCCTTTTATTGTCTTAGTCCGATTCTTTAATATATATCCAAAACGCTTTCTGATTCTGACAGAGTATCAGAGTCTTTCCCTTCATATGAGGGAGACAGGGAGATTTATCAGCTGCAAAGCCTGAGTGGAAAAAGATTTTCCTTGGGTGAATAAATCATATTTCAAAAATAACTTGCAATGAATAGTTTATTATAACGAATCACCATCACGGTAGCCAAGTCGGTAGAGCACTTGCTCCGTGATCGGAAGTTCGTGGGCTCAAACTCGATAAAAAATATAGGTATCGATTGTTTCTTCGGCAAGTGCTATGCATTTTGAAATGTAAGTTGCGGGTCTTTCAGATAAGACCTTAAAAACCGAGGCCCGGTGTCACAGCAGGCGTTGGCACGATAAAAATCCCTCACTGTTTAATGGCCCTGAGTGCCGAGTAAGGGTCCAAATTTGACGCCCTTCACCGGTATATGGTGACGTCTTCATATGAGTGCAATTCTCGAACGGGACGTAAAATAACATACAATCAATCAAGCAATCAATAACCAACGCGGCTAGGATACGGCTGTCCGTAAAATATCAAACTGTTCCAACTAAAGTAACTTCTCTGAACTACATGTACCTAGATATGTCGTCATAATAGCATATGTCACTGCATACTTGACGGGGAAAGTGACATAACTTTAACATTCCTTTAAGGTCAAGATCTAGTAAATGAGTTTGACTGTGTTTTTGGTACTATATCCATTATGACGTCATAATTGATTTAAACTTAATTTTTTCCCGTACTTTACAGCTATAACAGAATTATGTAGAAAATGACGCATTCATGGAATTCAATTTGAAACCATGTAAAAAGGAACCCCGATACCTATATTCAGTTTAATATTATTTTAAAGTAGAGGTCAAAAAGATATGAATAATCGTTTTCTGAGAGTCTGTAGGCAATATAGACACATTTCCTATGTCTGAGATGGAGAAAACTCTTATTTTTACACCTGATTTTCTTCATTTTTCATTGAAAAGGGCAGTTTAAAATATGTTTTTCCATTGAGTTTATCTTAAAAATATGTTACGATACACCTTAATTTATTAAGCTATAATTGTAAAAGATTATTAAAGGAATTCGTTTCTCAAATTTGAGAAATCTGTAGGCACTCTTCATTTACTAGATCTTGACCTTAACATGACATGCAAGGATTTTTTAGCGTTGTTGTTTGATTCAAGTGTCTGCATTGTTCTTTACGCTGAAGTGTGATGTTATGATGTTGAACCTTTGCAATTGAATATCATTATTCCTTTAACTTGTCCGATATACATATATTCAAACAATAACAAAAAATTGAATGTGAAACACCCCCCCCCCCCGACTTACACGTCCGAGAACAGAGTTAGAATTTAAAAATCGTGTATATATTTGACTGGCACAAGTGATTAATAAGGATACATTGAAGATATTCTGTGTGAATCTACTAGAGAAGTATGTCCTCTAACTGAATTTTGCTGGGGGATCGTACGAAATTTATCCTATTTTGTATAAATTGCGAAAAAAGGTGAAAAATGTCCCCTTGTATGTAGGCAAGTTGAATTTCCCGTGGAATATTTTCACAAGAAGTAACTTTCCCCCAGCACTTTATATGTACCAAAGATCATGATGAATTGACTTATGTGAAATATATGGAGATAACGAACAGTATTCAAGCTCAAAAGTCCATTATACAATACAAAATAGGAGCAGAGCAAACACGGACCTCCAAACATCAGAGGTGGGATCAGGTGCCATGGAGGAGTGAGCATCCCCTGCCGACCGGTCACACCCGCCGTGTGCTCCTTGTCATGATCGGGAAATAACGGAAAAATTCGTCGACAATTCAGTGTGTAAATAATGGCCTAACAATTAGTATGAAAAACGTCAGTCAGCATTTGACTCAATGATAAATTGTATTTGCTGACAAGGTCATTGTATCGACCATAGAACTTACGAAATGATGACTTTAAACGAGACAGCTGATATTCTTGTTTCATCAACTTATTTGTCAATAATTTACCTCGTTTTAGAAATTGTACATACGTAGAGCATGCTCTTGCGTATCGAATTAACTGAGAGATATATACCCCGTATGCAGGTGATGAAGGTATATTGCTGCAAAAGTAAGGGAAGTTGACGATTGAAAAGTTAAAGTCATCACGTTTATCATAAAGCTTGGTTGTTAGATTACCATTAACGTCTTTTTCAAGTAAAATATCCAAATATGAAACAGATGTGTCAGACTCTGTGGTATCTTTTATCTCAAGTTCACCAGGATATATCGTATCGACATAAGAATGAAAATAGCCATTGTTAATTGACAATACGTCGTCGATAGTCGATATATCTAAATGTCGAGTTGAACGCCACAGCAAGTGTTTTCTTCTTTTCACGTACGAGATTTTGGACAAATTCTGCCTCATATGAATACAAAAAAAGGTCAGCTAATAACGGGGCGCAATTGGTACCAATAGGAATTCCAATAGATTGTTGGAAGACCTGGTCTCCAAAAACCACATAGATATTGTCAATCAGAAACTCAAGCATCTTTTTAATGTCAACTTCAGAGTACTTGTGTGTACAATCAGAATGTTTTTTAACAAAATAATTTTTGCAAATGACCAATGACAAGGTAAGTATATTTACGAGTTCCATTTTTATTGAAAAAGCAGCTGTCAAATGATATCAAAAAGCCTGGACTTTAATTTTTCGTGGGGAATGGTTGTGTATAAAGTTGAAAAGTCGTAAGTTTTTAAGCTGTTGATTTTGGTAAAATCTTGTGATTTCAAATTTTCCAAAAGTTCCTTGGAATTATTAAGTATCCACATCTGATTTACACCACTTCTCGAATATATTGTTGCACAGTACTCCTGAAGTTTCTCCTTCACCACTGTTAATATCTTAGTGAGGAGTAAAGATAGAGGCTTGGTTGAACATTTACTGGAACTCACTATGTATCTTTGTTTGTAAGGATTTTTATGAAGTTTCGGAATCCAATATAAATATGGAAATTGTGACAAATTTTTCTTAATAATGTTGGTTTGCACTTGTGCCGATGCGATTTTTTTTTGCATCACTCAGGAATTTATAAGTGTCCGTCACTTGATCAACAAAGTCATGTGACATCACAAAAATGCATTATTATAATACCTGATTACACTCTCATCACAAGTTGACTGCAAATTCATACATAGATTACAAATTGAAATGAAAATCAAGCTTTTTATGAAGTTTCGGAATCCAATATAAATATGGAAATTGTGACAAATTTTTCTTAATAATGTTGGTTTGCACTTGTGCCGATGCGATTTTTTTTGCATCACTCAGGAATTTATAAGTGTCCGTCACTTGATCAACAAAGTCATGTGACATCACAAAAATGCATTATTATAATACCTGATTACACTCTCATCACAAGTTGACTGCAAATTCATACATAGATTACAAATTGAAATGAAAATCAAGCTCAAAATAAAATGTATATTTTAGTGCATATTAAGCGTTCGGACAGCCTTAACATAGCTGCGAATCAATTCAATATTTTTAGAATAAACACATATAAATTTAGTGCCTCTCTAAAATTATGACTTTCAATTAAAAATTTTACAGATGTTCGGCTTTTCTAAGTATTCTTGAATTTCTTGTGTCTAGTAAATAGGAGATTTGTTGAACCTACTAACGGTAGAACGATAATTCCAACAGGAAAACATGAAAGGTTTCCAAAGGAGTGGGATACGATATTTATTTCCGAGAGACACGACGTTTTATTTTCTCTGTCACTTGACTGTTAAGACCAATCAAATATTGCGTGTATTAAAATGAGTTTAATAAAGTATAATAAAATCATTTGTTTTACTACAAGCATATCTCTTTAGAACCCCTTATTGTATACAGATTTTCCTCTGTTTGCATTTTGTTTCATTATGTATTCATATTCTAAATTAATTAAGAAAATTTTATGTTTATGTACAGTAAAGATTAGTAATGCCAAAAGTAGAATGAGTCCAGAAGAAATGGAGCACATGCTAAAGGAAGCTGATGAAGAGAAAAAGAAGACTAGCACTGTCAGCCAGGTAAGAAAATGAACTCTTTGAGTCTATTTGAATATTGTTTTTTCTGTTCCTGTGCTTTGGTCAGAAGCTTTTAGACATTTTCTGATCCTGAATTGGCTTGACAATTTTTAAAATGATTTTTAGTCGACATGAATCACTAAGGTGGCCTATTGCATTCGGTTTTCGTGCGTCGGCCGTTGTAGTCGATTAACATGTGAACATTTTCAGCTTCTTCTCCGGAACAATTTAGCCAATCCAAATCACTTTTAATACTGACGATGATATGATAATTTTTTTTTTATAAGTTTACATAAATGTAACGCGAAGATTGTCAATTATTTGTCACACCAAAAACCTTAAATATCCCCAGCATATTTATAAGAACTATAATCTGTTTTTTTTTTCCATCTTTCTTATTGGAAGATATATTCACTTTTTAACAAAATTGTGTTAAATCTGTTGAATTTCAATCTTTTCATGCTTATAAAACTGCAAATAACAGAGCAAGGAATTCATAACATAAATCAAAAAGTTGTTTTACACTTAACTCCACGGTTAAGAAATATTAACGTAATACAATTTTTTTTTTCAATATATATATAATTATTTATATTACTTATTAATAAATATAAACATTTAAAAAAAAATACAGGTACCAGTCAAAGCAAATTTTGTTAAAAATACAGGTTTTATATTTCCACTATATTTAACAGCCCCGGTAGCCTAGTGGTTAAAGCGTTCGCCCTATAATGCAAAGGCAGTGTGATCGAATCCTGCTGAAGGCGGTTTTTCTCTCTCTTTTTTTTATTTATTTTTTTTTAACTTTTCTTTTTTTTACATTATTTTTGCCAAATTAACAAATGTGTAAACTTGATATTTATAATTTGAGAGAAGAAATCATTATTAAAATAATATTTTACCCATAAAAGCAGTTATATCGACTGCGTAATGGTGACTTAATGGTGGCGTAAAGGTGGTTTAATGGTAGCTTAATGTAGTCTGAACATAAAGCACCTATAAGTTTGGCTTAATGGTGGCTTAATGGTGACTTTAAGATTGTCTAGACGCTACCATTAAGCACCTATAAGCCACCATTAAGCTATCTTTAAGCACCCATTAAGGACTTTGAGATGGCTGAATAATAACTTAATAGTGAGTATTTATTACTTAAAGATAGCTTAAAGGTGGATAATGGTGACTTAAAGACAACCATTAAGCCATCATTAAGGACCTATAAGCAACCATTAAGCCGAGCTTAAAAGAAGTGTTTCATCTTGTGTAAGGAACCGTAGAATTCAAAATTCACAACATCCAATACTGCATTTATCCTCGATTCAAACGAATTAACAGAGGGCATCTGTTTCTCAAAGAGTTCACACAATTAGATAAAAATCTTTGATTGAAGGTTAGTCCATGTGTTGACTAGGTCACCCTCTGCTTCCACTAGATTCTGTGGCTGGAAAAGCTGTCCCACTCTCTGGTCTATCTTATCCCAGACATGCTCTTTAGGGTTGAGACGTGGATGACAAGGGGGCTAACTGAAATTGTCTGTACCTTGCAATATCAAGCCTACAGTACATAACGTCTCCTTATACGCATTCCCCATTCCTCCAGTTTGTTCTGTACAATTTGGACACTGAGGAGACTTCCATGATTTTTTAATGTGTTCCGTGCAGTTTCACATGCAGTTAGGGTCCTCCACAATAGTGATTAATTCTTATATAGTAGTCTTGTTGATGTTTCGTTACACTACGTCTTGGCCATGGAGGAAGGTCTACACTTCCGGTCCCGGTTCCATTGATTTTTCGGATAAACCCTAGGATGATTATGTGGTGTCTGGTAAAAATCTAAAGTTTTTTCTAATAATTGTAAGGATTTGAAGTAAGCTATGATGGTCTTCCTGACAGTATTTTTAAAGGTTGTAAGCAAAATAAACACATACAGTGAGAGAAAATAAACCTCTCGTTAACTACACCCAGCTTGGACTATGTCAACTTTACTTGCACATTTTTGTGCGGACATGCGCCACATTTAATCAATCTTTTTTTCTGTTTTTTTTTTTTTTTTTTTTTTTTTTTTTTTGGTAAACAACTAAAGGTGGAGAACAAACGGAAACAAAAAAAATATGAAAAATACACCGAGAAACATGTGGAACTCGGACTTCATGCTTTTTAACAAGAACGTTCACGGTAGAGTTATTTCACATTCGATCACATTTTTTTGGCCTTGACAGGTAAGCATTGTAAATTGCAGTCAAAATTGTAAGCTACTTATAGAATGATTTAAGGGTTTTTTTAATTTTTAAAATAAAAAAAGTTGGGACTTAGAATTTTTGACAAGTATATATTGAAGACTCATCTCTCTTTTACTCTCCTATTTTCTGCTCCTAGGCATCTAACAGTAAATTAAGTACATAGTTGTTATGAGCAAGGATGCTTTTTACCATATTTTGAACTTGAATGACCAATTTTTCAGGGACTTTGATGCTTATTCAGGGCTCTTTATAAGGAAATGTTTACTTTGAAAGAAGTCATTCCCCTTTGATTATTCACCTAATTTATTACTTATGTGACTGAGAGGTCATCGGTCTGAATGAAAGAATATGCAATAATTTTTCATGAATATTTTATTTTATATTTTAAATAGTCATTGAAATTGTAAATAATAAATGAATATATACGCATTAGATAAGAATATTTTGTACTGTGATTATAACTATAACACCAGGCTATATTAAGGTACTCTGCTGGGTTTACTCTGTGTACATACTATAACTTCATGGTTGTAGTTGTAGTTTCTAATTGAATGAGTGTTTATTTAAAAAAAATAAAACTACACGTATTTTGTGTTTCTGTGCTTCTTTGGTTTAACTTCACTTCTCAACCAATCGGTATAAAAAATGTCAGCCAATATAATTAGCAAAGGTATTGCATAAAACCGATGGTTATCATCAATTAATTTCATATGGAAAAGATACATCATTGTGCACTTATTATTTTATGACAGAATAATACTAATGAGATTGAAATAGCTCGGGAAAATAAATTTTCAAACAAAAAGAATATAATTAAAATGAACTTTGCTAAAGAAATTCAAATGTTATCAAATTGAAGAACAACGATATACCTTTTTTCGTCAAGCTTATTCCAATGACTTCCAGACTGCCTGCTTTGCCGGCAAGTTATGACAAGAAATGTAAGTATGTTTTCCTTGTAAGTAAGAAAAACACAACGGTAAATTCTTTTTTTCATTATTGCGTAGAAAAATTGTTTCGGCAGGAATATTCTTATGTCACCAAAGTTTAATTGAGCTTTTCTGATCGACGAGTGTCTGTTGACCTCCATCTTATTTTAATGTATCGTATGTAAACTTTTAACTTTTTTCATCTTCTCCAGAGCAACAGGGTCCATTAAAAAAAATTACCAGAAAATATATTTTGGGAAATTTAAAAAATATGAATTATATATTCTCAAGAGTAGCAGACCTACTATATTATACTGATATTTAACCATTTCCAGTCATAAAGATTCAAAGTTGTAAAACTAAAATAGGGGATCAGATATTATATGACATTTTATATGACATGTAGCTAAAATCCTTTCAAATTTTCACTATAGCTGCAGGAACATTGTTAATCATATTGATATTCAGTATTTCCATCTAGCATGACTTCAAGATTGTTCAGTTTGGTTAAGACTTGGTCTCTTGGTACTGGGGTAGGGCCACAGTATAGGATAATAATTTCATATGAGAATACAGAGAGATAGAAAAAATTAACCTTCTGATGGATATAGAGGCCAAGGCGATTTAGACGATGCTTAAGGCCCAGCTGGGTCTCTTATTACTGGCTATAATAAAGAAATAATTATGTAGAGAAGCACAAATGAAGAAGGGTGGCGAGGCGGTTTATCATTTTAAAAATAGGAAATTAATGCATTTTCGATTTGAATATGACATTGATACATCAGTGTAACATTTATTGTAAACCTTAATTCATTGGCAGCTTTTGATGTAAACACTTATGGTATTGGATCCTCCGTCAGCTACGTTCTTAAGGAGACCCCAAGACTGAATATATCCTCACTACAAGCCATGTTTAATATTCAAGAGGTAATGTTTTTGGCATTTGCACTTAATTTTACACATCAATTATACTTGCATGTAGTTAATTGAAAATCTCTGTTTGTTCCTAACTGCACATTCAACCTATGAAACAAAAATGTCCCTTTCAATTTCATTTTTATTAGTTATATGTCTGATTTTTTTTAATTTGCATTTAAAACCTAAAAATTATTATTTGCAATTTCATAATTAACCTTCATAGTAGGCTTAAACAGCATTCTTCAGTCTAAATACCCAATTTTGACATGTGCTTGTTTATTTTCGTAATACCTTTGTCAACAACAGAACAATTTATGGAAACTCGGTGCAAACTTAGAAGAGACTTGTGGAATTGACGTCAAAAAATGCATGGACATCCTCCAAGGAGCAGGTCTAAATTCTCTTGGTATGAACACAAGGAAAATTTAGCATACATAATACAGAATGTTGCTTATTTAAAACTACTTTTGATGGAAGAACCATTCGCTTTTTTGGAGAAGCAAATCTGACATACTATGGGATAGATGTATTTCATTTCCCAGTCATGCTCTTTTTTCAGCTTTTGTTTTTGCTATGAATTCTATTAAATTATCAATTTCCTTTTAAGATTTAAGATTTAGTTTTATGCCAATTCCCTGCATTTTTTTTTTAAATTTGAAAATATGTTTTTCTCCCTAAATCGTAAAACTAATGGTGAATATTTTAACATTCTTTATCAGGTACGAAGGTTAGAGATGACGTTCTAGAAATAATATCTTCAGCACTGGCCCTGCTTCTCATTCTAAAAATAATTGCTCCAGAGTTATTTCCCTTGCGCTTTTCCAATCAGCACAATCTCATGTCTATATTCATGAAGGCAGAAAACAATCTTAAGAAAATATCACTTTCATCCGAGGACATCAAACAGAAGAAAATGATAATTGGTGGTAGATCTGTAGAAGAGAGACTAAGGGCTTCAGTACAGACATATATAGCCAAGAAGCAGAAATACGATTGGGTGTGTGATATGCTGGAACTAGGTCATTCGTGGGAGGAGGTGGCCATTAAAATGC